CTTTACTAGCAATATACTCTATCAGGTAGACCTCCACGCTGTTCCCTCTAGAACTCATCATGATTAATTCTTGTCGAATCCTTCACGATGGGCCGGCTGGGCTGCCTTCATCCTCATCTATCATCTATCACTGAAGCCCCGCCAGTGTATATCGATAGTGTAGGCAGGGTTACCATTCCTTTTTCATCCATTAAAAAAAAACTTATTATTGTTTCCCTGGCCACGGCTCTGTCCCACTAAGAGGAACATATTAACCTACTCGCCATAATAGATACCAACCCAATCAGGCGGCATGGCATAGATTTTTATTTTAAAAAAATCGTTCCCTAAGACTTTTTTAATCAATTTGAAATTTCATTTTCACACATTAAAAAAAAATATATCCTTCACTTATATCGCCAACGTACACCAATAGTTGTTTGCATTTATATATAAAAAAAAAAAAACTAGGCAGTCATAACAAAAGTAAAATCCTCTGTGATCGAGTTTCACAATACATTTTTTTCCTTTTTCCATCCTCGAAAGAACTCCACGATGTCAGCGACTACGTATACTTTTTTAATAAATGAAGATCTTGACAAGGTAAAGCTTTACGCATAAATTTAATAAAGATTCCCTTACTTCTTAATTTAAATGTGAAAATGGATTTGTTCGCTACCTCTTAATATTTTAACGGCTCGTCACCATAATTGGCCTACACGTAGTAGGTAGGGGGGAAGGGATTATATATTTTAGTTATGGGGAAATTAATCCTTATCACTTACAATATACCCTATCATGTCTCCCCTATCTCTTGCATTTAAACTACTCAATGATATTTTGAGCCAGTATCCGCAATTGGATGTATTTGCCTCCAACTTGCTGGAGTTTCGTCGAGTGACCACAGAGTGTTTGTGTTCAGACGTTTTTGCTTAAGTCTTTTTATATTATTCTTGTTATTTATGTATAATATTCCTTTTTTATATGTTATTGTACTGATGCTTTCCTGGGTGAGCGTATTGGAAGACTGTAAGGCTCACCCAGTGGATGTAATAAATAAATAAATAAATGTCAACTTCCACACTCCGTTCCCCTTGGAAACCATCGTAACTAATTTATCGTTGAATTCGTTGTGAGCTAACTGTCCCGCCTTTTCATTCTCACCTATCATCCCTTACTGGTTCCCCGCCAGTGTATACCGATAGCGCAGGCTGGGTTTTTTTATGGATGCTAATGGAATGGTAACCCCGCCTGCGTTAACGGTATACGCTGGTGGGGTACCAGTGAGGGATGATAGGTGAGGATGAAAAGGCGGGACAGTTAGCCCACCGTGATGAACACACTTACACTTAACACAATGGTTTCCGGGGGGGTACCACGTGGAGGTCGACGTGACAGGGTATATGGCTAGTTATGAGACTGGTAGTCAGCATTAATAGCAATCCCTACCCCCCCCCCCCTCCACCCTCCAGCGCTGGCAGGGTTGGTTGGTGGGCATTCCATTATCATCCATTAAAAACAAAAACACGCAGTAGGTATAATACAATAGGACGATACAGGGGGAAAAGGGATTGTTAGTAATAGAGACTGGGAATCCCATTGCTAGCAATATACCCAACCAGGTCGACCTCCTCGCGTTTCTCCCTGGAAACTATCATGGTTAATTCCTGATGAATTCATCATGATGGGCTAACTGGCCTGTTTTCATTCTCATCGATCACCCTTCACTGGTGCTCCGCCAGCGTATCCCGTTAGCGCAGGCGGGGTTACCATACCATTTTCACAGATCAAAAAAAAAATAGAAGGATACAATTACTTCTAAATGGTTGAGAGTAATTTATATTTCATTTGTAAGATACTCAAAAACTCCTTAAAACATAATGGTATCTCGAATTATAAACAACAATTTAATATATATACTTAAGTATGTAGTTAATAAACAAACAAAAAAGAAAATTGTCACAATTACAATCCCGTGAGTATCTAGTTAGAGCCATGAACGATGGCGATGGATTTACTGTCACGATTACTGTGGACTTAACATTCCACTTTACCCATAATTATTTCACTGGCCTTGTCCCAGTTCCCAAATAAATATTAATATGAATAATTACAGCGAGAGACAGATGTAAATTTTTAATTTACAATTTTGCTTACAATTCGAGACAAACAATTAAATATACCTTTCCTCCATACACATTCCCTTGATCCCATGTTGATCTTATCCTAAAAATTGTTCATTCTTTCTTGGAATATTGATCCGATTGTTAAACTTCTGCATTCTCATTCTCTTCCTATTGATCCAAGCCCATAAATTCTACGTACTCATTCTAATAATGTTTTCTTTCTTTCTTTCTAATAGTCCCGGCATAAATATAGACTACCCCTTCCTTTCCCATGGGTGTCGTAAGAATCGACTAAGGGAAAGCGAGGTATGGGCAGCAGCGTCCCTCTTAAAACATTTTTAAAGCCTAACTGCGGTTGCCAATCCGCCTGCCAAGCATAGCAATTACCAAACCCCCCCCCCCCCCCCAAGTGGAAGGCTTTTATTCAGCAGTGGACAGACAGGCTGATCCGATCTCAAAAAGTCACTCTTATTCTGAAAATGGTATTTCCATCCTAAAAATTACCTACATTTTTAGGACCTACGCCTAGTACGGCCTACCTGATGATAAAAGGCTATCGTAGCCTACGAACGCCTGTAATACTAGGGACGCGTACATTGCCGACCCTGAAGAAACTATTACACCATTTTTTGAAGGATTTTTGAAGGAAGAACTGTAGTATACTACAGTTTTTTAAAAATACCTCGATAGGGAGCTCATTCCATAACCTATTTCATACATAGAAATTTCTAGGTAATAACTTGCCTTTATTGTACACGTAAAACATTGAAATAGATTACAATTTATTCAGAACAATGCTATAGGAATTATATTAACCTAGATTTTTACTATTCTTAAGATAGCGCGAGGACGAGCTTATTTCTAAAACAGATTTGTACTAGCAAACCTTTATTAGATAATACCTAAGCAGGGGGGAGAAGGGATTGTTAGTAATGCGGATTATCAGTTCCATTGCTAATAATATACCCTAACAGGTCGACCTCCCCGTGGTCTCCCCTGGAAACCATCGTGCTGAATTCCAAGTGTATTCATCACGATCGGCTAACTGACCTGCCTTTTCATCCTCACCTATCATCTATCACTGGTGGCCCGCCAGCGTATACCGTTAGCGCAGGCGGGGTTAACATTCCATTATCATCTATTAAAAAAAAAATACCTAAGTAGTACTCAAGAGGATGGGATGTAATAAACTCACGAAATAGAAGCCACCACATGACTAGTTTTGAATAGGTAATGTTATAAATCTACTAGCAAGCGACTTGTTTGCATTCTGCGCTCTGCTTTGATAAATGAGTTAACGCAACCTAATTACAGTGACTTAAAACTTGCTGTTACGTATGGTGTTTCCAAGATTCGTGTACAGCTGTGCTCGGCTTCCATCAAAGGTTTGCATTGAACTGTCACGTAGTATAAAATACAATTTATTATGGAAAACAAGCTGGTGGATCATGTGGTGAAATGTGACTAAAAATAATAATAAACGTGAACAGCCCAGCCGCAACTTAACAGAGGGAGACTTTGTACAAAAGTCGACTGCTTGGGTACCTCTGTCCCATTCGTGTTTCAACTGTGAAGCAGTTGTGTTTGCATGGCTATGTTTCGGTTTGAAGGGTGGGATATGGCGTGAATTTACTGGGTACAGAGGAATAACACCTGATTCCTCAGGAATGGTAACGCATGGGGGGTATCATGGGCGAAACAGTATACTCTGTTATGTCCATGGTACTGCTCATGTCTATAGGCGACAGTTACCACTTTCCATCAGGTGGGCCGTCAGCTTGTTTGCCATTTTAAGTTGTATAAATAAAAAAAAAAAAAAAAATAAAGAACAGCACCGTGAATTGCACGGTATAGCTACACCGAATAGGATATGACCTCATGGTATCTCTCACACGTTGCTACTTTTGAGGACTATGGTGTTATGCCTCAGTACTGAGTTGTTAATAATTATAATCCTCACTGTTAAAGTAATTTACTTATAATGTCAACAATAGAAACAAACACTGGTTAACTTCATGCCATGCCACTAATGTCTCGTCGTAGGTTTAAAAGCAACAATGTTATGAAACTGAAGTTAGTTGAAAATATATCCATTTCAGTAAAGACGTGTGTTTTCTTGCACCTTAAATTGATATTCAAAAGTGAACCTTAACACCTTAACACTCATGATTATAAACTTTAATAATAGGTAGAAAATGGCAACAGTGGCCATGTGTGTTCCCTTCCTTTCCCGGGGTGTCATAAGAGTCGACTAAAAGAATGGGCAACATCGAGGGATGGGCATCAGCGTCCCTCTTAAAACATCTCCAAAATCCTAACTGTTGCCAACACGCCTGCCAAGCGTGACAACTATTGGCAAAGCTTCTCTTATAAGGAAAACTTATGTTCAGCAGTGGACAGTTAACGGCTAAAATGAAAACGCAATAGTCAACCAATGCGCTTGTCTGTTGCTGGTATGATGAACGTAATATAGGGCATGTGGGGGGAAAAATGGAGTTATTAGAAACGGGGTCATTGCTATCAATATACTCTGTTAAACCTACTTCCACGTTCTCTACTTCGCCCTGGAAACCATCGTGGTTAAGTCTCGTGGAATTCTTTACGATGGGCCAACTGACCTGCTTTACCTATCTCTCACTGGTGCTCCGCCAGCGTATGACGATAACGCTGGCAGGGTGACCATTCCATTCTTACCTATTAAAAAAGAAACACTGAACACTGAATCCAACGTAGTAAGCGGGAGAGCCTAATAACGCCGACATCGACATGTTATCTGTGTTTTTCATCACCAGAACTATAATCGTAAACTAGAAAGATCCGAAAACATGACCTCTGCAGTCTATAATCGGGAAAACATATCACTGGCGTATATGTAAAAAATATTGATTAAAAATTCTAGTTATATCTTTGTAAGTTGTATAATAAAGCTAAAAAAGCTATAGAAAGTGAGAAAACACAGTTCTGGGAGTTGTTGGCTGCAATGAAGGCGTCCCACTCTCTACGAACTCGGGGATCCAGAGCTTTAGCTGATAAGGTCTCGAGTGTACGGATATTGCTGGCTGGTGAATACGACGTTGAGGATGCCACATCTTTCAGGTGGTGATGGGCACTCAGGAGCGCGGTCAGCTCGCGTTCTGCTACGTTCGCCATTGACGGAGCCCAGGTTTCATCAACTCCTGTAACATTTAATCTTTTGAGGCATTTATTTATAATACTTGTATTTTATTACTTTATTCTATTTCCGCCACCAAATAGCTGGGCTTAGTTAGTTGTATAGTACGTAGGCATAACCCTAAGTCCTCATAAATGATGACATGACGAATACCTAGGGCTTCCTAGTATATTCTGTAACTAATCTATGGGTGTTAACCTATAGGTCCATAGGTAACGATTTAATAGATGATAATGGAGTGGTAACCTCGCCTGCGCTTACGGTATACGCTAACGGGGCTCCAGTAAGGGATGATAGGTGAGAATGAAAAGACAGGTTAGTTAGCCCACCGTGATAAATTCATTTGAAATTCAGCACGATGGTTTCCAGGTGTACCACGTGGAGGTCGATCAGACAGAGTATGTTGCTAGTTATAGGATTGGTAATACACATTATTAACAAACCTTCCCCCCACCCCCTCCCATAAGTGACGGCTACAACTATCCACTTATTGAATAGTATATTAATCTTTCTGTGAAATATCTTACTAGGTAACTTGAAGGGAAACTCTATAGATCCTACATCTGTGATGAAGATTTTGCCAATTTTATTATATGTATAAAATTTTTCTTATTTCTCTTGTTACTCTGTTTCACACAATACGAAGAGAAGCAAGTAGAAATTAATATTAAGAATGAAATCAAGAAAGATAATGACAACGACAATATATTTAATTTTACACAGACATCACTTATTATAGAATAGATATACATTCTCGATAAATATAAAAAAGAAATCTAATTGCATAATCGAAAAACCAATTGTTCCATACAGTATGATGCAGAATTTAACGTAGTTCGTATACAGAAACGACGCTCCATTTTCCAGCAAGGCTGTATCGATGTAGTCGCAAACCAAGTCGTCCCAATTGTCTGTCAAATCTTGAATGTTCTTGGCGTTAGCTATGAGCTTTTTGCGCATCAGTCGTTTAACCTTATCCAAATGTTCAGGTGCGTCGTCAGAAACTTCGCGCGCACGCAGCCACGGCTCGTTGGTCTCTGGTGGTTCTACCATCACCACTGTTGGCAGTTTCCTCGTCACCTGTAACAGCACGGGCGGTTTCGTCGTCGACAAGCTTTTGAAACTCTCCTTCCTCTGAGCCTTCTTAAGTATCGACAATTTAGATTTCTCCGCTAAGGACAATTCCTTTGAAGTATTTGTTGTAGATATTAGATTTGACATTGCCATAATGGATGAGGTTATTGTAGCAATAGTAGTAGTGCTGGTTTGAAGAGAACTGGTCTCAGTTGAACTGGTTGTCGTCTTTAAAACTTCCGTGACGACTTCAGGTATAGTTATATACCCATTATTCGCCCGACGACCAGGAAACAAGTCTTCGAGCAGCGATGTTGGCCTCGGAGCGGACGCCCTCGCTGAGCACACACAACACACATATTTTTTACATATTTATAACCTTTCCTTGTCTTTCTTCTACATACAGTTGATAAGAACATAAATAATTGAAAACCGAATTAGTTAACGAGTCATTTTTTTAAAGCACTAAACAATAAAAAGTTTCTTATAAGAAAGCTTCATATAAAAAAAATTGTTTTAAAGATTTTCTTTTTTACTATTTTTATATCGAAAGAGATAGGTAGTAAGTATTTGATGCAATAGAATTGTACAACTTATAACTACTGCACTAAAACTACTATGATTTACCTTTAGTCCGTTGAAGAAGAGTTGGCAACTTGTTTTTAATATTATTTACCCTTTTCATATCGTAATAGTCATTATATTCTGAGTATGAGCCTTGTTTTAGCTTATTCTTATGTAGCTTAACAACAATATCCTCATCGTCCGAGGGTCGATAGCGATTGTTACCCAATCGATTCCGAGGCGGTGCATCGAAACTAAAATCGTCATCAGACGCCTCGTCCTCTTTTAGTCGTCTGTCTGGTAATATGTCACCAATATCCTCTTCAATATCATGCACTGGCCTACTTGTCCTTAATCCAGCAGTCAATCGCCTCGGCTTTCTCCGAATTATTTTATTTGTTGTAACTTTATGCTCATAGTTTACATTATCCTCCAAGTTTTTATTCTTATTCCTTCGAAAATCCACTTTATCTCTAAACTCCTCGCTTTCTGTATCATTAACTTCTTCATTTTCATCTCTATTATTGTTGTTGATACGTACATCTCTATCGGATTTCCAACTTTTGTGCCGTGGCCTGTGCTTTGCGTATCGATATCTGCTTTTTAATTTTGGTATCACATCTTCGGGACTAAGCTTATCTATTTCAATGTAATCATCATTGTCAATGAGTGATCGACTTCTCTGTTGTCTAACAGGTCTTTGCCACAAGTCCTCACTTTCCACTTCCTTCAATGATGATTTGATTTGTTTCTCTGAAAGAAAGCAAAAGTAAAGGCATGACACATTTCGATTCTAAAATATGCTTAAATTATATAAACAAACTTTTTGATCAACGCAGTCGAAACTGTTAGTTTTAGCACAAAAATATCAAATTTTACACAAGACCAAGTGAACACTACGAAATAAATTTTGGAAATACCCAAGAGGACAGGATACAAGGATTCGCGTGAGTGAAATGGGGTGTAGAGGGTACGCGGGCGTATATGAGTGAAATATATTTTTAGATACCGTTTTCTGAGAGAAATATATCCACGGGAATTTTTTATTGTATAAAACTGAACTTAAATATTTCAATTAAATATTTGTATATAGAAAATTAAACAAAGGTAAGTATACTCAAAATAGAGAAATACCTTTAAGTTCTCCTTCATACTTATAGTCAGGTGAAGCGGATGCATCTGGTGAGTGACCTTGATAGTCTTCAGATTCGAGAACAGCTGAGGCTACGGAGTCACGTGGTGCGTCGTAGTCACCGCCTTCGTACTGTGGCATCTTGGCGGCCGAGTAGTCGCTGTAGCGATCGCCGGCCACGCTAGCTGCCACGAAGGCCAGCACCACAATAAGGTTAAGCCACATCGGCTTTCCTATCCTCTTTTTACCTAGTGCTATCCACTACCGACTTTGTATTGTACTACAGTGCCTACTTAGAGGCACCAATCCAATTTGAGGCATAATTCTAAAACTGTGACTAAGAATTTGACAGTGATGGCAATAGACATTATATTGTGATTTTTTCAACATATTTATAATTGCTAATTGCCAGTATTATGTATGGATACTCAATGAAAACTTGCATAATATTTTTGAAAAGCAAACCGTTGACACTATCATCGGGTGACAAAATAACAAATATGTCAAATTTGCTAAATTCCAAGTAACATTTTATTAGAAAATTAGAAAATATGCATGTCCAACCTTTCTTTCCATGATGATTGGCTAATGCAATTCGACGTTATGAATGGAAAAGATAAAAAAGTGGAGAAAAAAGACGGAGTGGACTGTAAATGTTATGCGGAGTCGCACACTACCAAAGCATGCCCTCCTATTCGTAACGTGACCCATCCTTTGGTGAGAATCCATGTAGATCTCTAGACATATCTTTACGCGAACTTCTAAACTTTTTTTAGCGTAATAATAACTCATCTTCGCTATCTGTATAGCAATGTACGCTAGCCAGGAACTAGGCAGTAATGATAGGTGAGTACATAGTCAAGTCAGTTTGCCCGTCATGACAAATCCACTAAGTACTTCGATGGTTTCTCGATAAGATCACGTGGAACATTTTATACCCAGAATTTTTTTATGCTACTTAGAATGGCTAACAAACTGACGACCCACTTGATGTAAAGTAGCAACCGTCGCCTGTAGACATGAACAGTACCATGGACCTAACAGAGTATACTGTTTCGCCCATGATACCCGCCATGCATTGCCATTCTTGAGAATTCAGGTGTTATTCCTCTGTAACCTGTAAATTCACTGCCATATTACACCCTTCAAACCGAAACACAGCAATGCAAACACAAGTGCTTCACGGTTGAAACACGAATGGGACAGAGGTGCCCAAGCAGATGACTTTTGTACAAAGTCTCCCTCTGTGTTTAAGTTACACGATAACTTCGTTTTACAAATTTTAGTTAGTTTTGAACTGACTACAAAATGCGATTGACGTTCACAATTCGGTCGTTTTTTTTTATATTTGTTACTTCAGACCTCTCTTATTTGTAAATCAATTTCGAAAAATCTATTTTTAATTGAAAAAACACACTTTCAATTTAGTCCCATAGAAGTTTAATCAAACAGTTTGATTTTTAAGTTGAAATAACACGTTTTATCACGATTAAGGTAAATTTTTTTGTGTAGTAAAATTTATTCATTTTTAAATGTGAAACAATTCGTCGACAGCGCTACTACGAGTTTACGCAGGACGAAATTAAAGCGCTCGAGCAATGCGACAAGGAGAGCTTCTACCAGCGCTGTCTGCCTTTCAGCACGCTATTCGCCACTGTCACATACGCTGCCATTAAATTTGGTAAGCAAATGTTACTTGTATCTAAACTAATAGCGACTTAAGGTAGAAAATAGAAAAAGAAATGCCGCAAGCCAGTAACTTGATATAGTTGTTTATTGAGTTAAAATAACTTTGTAAAAAAAAGATCTCTTCTAAACGAGGGGTCAAAGGACCGCATTTAAGGGTTTAAAAATAGATAATAAAATTTTAACGTATGATTTAAAACTATGCATCGAATTAAAAACATTGACAGGAAATATTGTAGTTGAAGTGATTTTATATTTACGTATATTTTTCAATAAACTAGCTAAAAAACGGACAAAGCTGTTTTTGAAATTTGTACTACTTTTGTATTTGTAGTAAAAAATAATTGAATTTTTAAAACCGCTTATATTTTTTGATTGAGTAACAAAACCTGAACTATATGTTATAAAACCCATTATTGATTTATTAAGTATAATTAATATATCAGACAAAAATTCAAGTTGTTTTGAGCATAGATTCTATAAAATAAAAATAAAATTGAAAATTTTCATTTTTTTTTTTAGTTATATATTTCTAACATACAGTATCTATTGTAGGATTTTAGAATAATGTATAATAATGTTAAATTTTAAAATTTTTCCTTCCAAATAGTGTTTGTTTTTTTTTTAATAAGTTAAGAAATTACAAAGTTATGGTTAGTTTTAAAATAACATGGACTGGAGAATTTTTATATAAGTGTCGTTTTGTCCCCACTTTAAACATCGTAAATGTATTCTATCTTGAAGATACCATATGACAATTTTGTATCATGTTCATAATGTCTCCTTTAAACGTTTTTATATTCGTCGAGTAGTTTTTTTTTTAATTAATCGCGAAAACCTGTTTTATTTTTTACTTTAAACTTCCTAAAAATACCCGTTTGATACTTTATTATCATACTTTGATAATATAATACTATTTTTCGAGATGGCTTTGACGAAATTTGTTCAAATTAAGCAAACCGAACGAAACATGATCTTTAAAAAAGGATAATTTCATACTTCGGAGAAAACGCAAAGACTTTGTCCGAGTAAATGATATTAGAGTCTTTCAAGTAAAATGAAGGTGGCTTCGAAACATTTGACACCACACGGCGACTCTCACATATATTACACGTATATATTTTTTATACAACTTAGAATGGCAAACAAGCTGACGGCCCACCTGATGGAAAGTGGTAACCGTCGCCTATAGACATGAGCAGTAGCATGGACATAACAGAGTGTACTTCTTCGCCCAAGATACCCCACGCGTTGTCATTCCTGAGGACTCATGTGTTATTTTTTCTGTGCCCTGAGAATTCACTGTAATTTATTTTATTTTATTTTTTATTTATGCTTTATTGACCACATTACAAAAAAAAAAAAATGTCTGGTACAAAAGGCGGACTTAATACTACTATACGAGGTTTGTCCGGAAAGTACGTATAAAAGTTTTTTAAAAATTTTATTTTACAATTATTCAGGTAAATCAATTTTATCCCCTTCAAAGTACTCCCCCTGTGACATAATGCACTTGTGCCAACGCCGTTTCCACTGTGAGAAGGCTCCTTGAAAGTCCTCTGGTTGTAGGTTTCTCAGCTGCCCCGTCGTAGCTTTTTTTATCTCATTTATGTCCCCCAAATGCCGCCCCCGAAGTACCAATTTGGTTTTTGGGAACAAGAAGAAGTCACACGGGGCCAAATCCGGCGAATAGGGGGGTGTTCGGTCACCGTAATGGAATTTTTACTCAAAAACTCACGGACAACAAGAGAGGTGTGGGCAGGGGCATTGTCGTGGTGAAGAATCCAACGCCCCTCTCGCGCCAATTCTGGACGAACTCGTGCCACACGAGCTTTGAGGCGTCTGAGCACATCGACGTAGAATTTTCCATCAACTGTCTGGCCTGGAGGAACGAATTCTTGATGGACAATCCCCCGAACATCGAACTCTTTCTCGGCCCTCTCTGAATCTTTTTAGCCACTTGTGGACGGTTGGTTCCTTCACAGCATCATCCCCATAAACTGTTCTGAGATCGGCAAAAATTTCACGGCCATTCTTGCCGAGTTTCGAGAGAAACTTGATTACGACGCGCTGCTCTTCAACGGAAGCGGGCTCCATGCCGACGGGGTTTCGTTAAGAGGTAACTTCACAGATGGCGTGACAAGCCAGTTCGCACCGCACGGCGGTCAGACCAGAACTGAAGCATTGTTAGGGACATAAGGAAGGGGTCCTGCGCTTACCTGGCCTCCCCACTCCTCTTTCTCGCATTCCAGAACACTTTTATACGAACTTTCCGGACAGACCTCGTATAGCATTCTCTCCCAGTCAACGTTTGGCTAAACAGAAATTTTAATATGCGGTGAAAAAACATTACAACACATACAATAGAGATTATATAAATATATTATAATTTTTGCTTATAATTTAAATTCTTTTCTTAAAATGGCAAAAGAAGTGTCTAAAAATATATAGGGAAAGAAAAAAAATACAAAATGTTTTATGTCTTTGGTATTTAAAACCGTGGTCCCGGCATCGAATAGGCCATCCCTTCCTTTCCCGTGGGTGCCATAAAAGGCGACAAAAGGAGGGCGTGTGATGGGCAGCAGCGTCCTTCTTAAAACATCTCTAAAGTCTAAAATTGCGGTTGCCAATCCGCCTGCCAAGCGTGGCAACTACTGACAAAACCCCCCTAGGGGGAGGCTTATGTTCAGCAGTGGGCTGATATGATAATGATGAATACAATTTCATTGAGTTCTATCGGGGATAAGACGTTATCAGAGGGAGACTTTGTACAAAAGTCGATTGCTTGGGTACCACTGTCCCATTCGTGTTTCAACCGTGAAGCAGTTGTGTTTGCTGGCTGTGTTTCGGTTTGAAGGGTGGGATATGGCGTGAATTTACTGGGTACAGAGGAATAACACCTGAGTCCTCAGGAATGACAACGCATGGGGGTATCATGGGCGAAACAGTATACTCTGTTATGTCCATGGTACTGCTCATGTCTATAGGCGACGGTTACCACTTTCCATCAGGTGGACCGTCAGCTTGTTTGCCATTATAAATTGTATAAAAAAAAAATTAAGCAAAATGTTTGTTAATGTTCCTATTGGCAATAAATTTGCTAACATAATGTAAGGTTTTTACAAGCCAGTAGGTAGCGACGCAGGTAGCATCCTGATCGGTTGGATATATAAATTTGTGTTTATTTACATCTGTTCCATTAAACGGATCTATCTTTTTATAGACGATGATGAAATGACAATCCCGCACGCACTATCGATATACGCTGACGAGGCACCCGTGAGAGATAGGTGAGGATGAAAACAGATCAGTTAGCCCATCGTCACGAATTCCACAAGAATTAACCAAGATGATTTCCAGGGAAACCACGTCGATTGGGCATATTGCTAACAATGGGGCTGTTAGAAAGGAAGCGAGGCGATTATTAGTAATGTGGCCAGTCCCATTGCTACCAGTATTCCCTCTCAGGTCGACCTCCATCCATCCATGCTGAATTCCAGATGTATTCATCACGGTGGGCTAACTGACCTGCCTTTTCATTCTCACCTATCATCTCTCATTGGTACCCCGCTGGCGTATACCGTTAGCGCAGGCGGGGTTAGCATTCCATTATCACCCATCCAAAAAAGGACCATTTATAACAATCCCTTCCCCCCGATAAGAATCTTTATTTCTAATTACTGGATGGCTAAGAATATCTTAAATTATTTACAGCTTTTAATTACAATTAAATATATAAAAAGATTGTTAACATTTGCACACACAATATTTAAGTGTTATATTATTTTCTCTTGGAGCTTTTATTATTATTAACTTCACTTATTAAATCAACTTCACTTATTAAAAATTAAGAGAAAATTATAATAGAATATTTTGACAAATGATCAGATAGACAGACTTTGTTCTGTCTTTTTTTATACAACTTAGAATGGCAAACAAGCTAACGACCCACCTGATGGAAAGTGGTAACCGTCGATTATAGACATGAGCAGTACCATGGACATAACAGAGTATACTGTTTCGCCCATGATACCCCTCACAACACAAGTGCTTTACGGTTGAAACACGAATGGGACAGTGGTACCCAAGCAAACGACTTTGGTACAAAGTCTCCCTCTGGTAAACTGTCTAACGGAAGAAGAACGAAACCGGCGTGTAATGTAGGACTCGAGTTATTAAAGTTCCGAGTTTCTTTTTCCTGCTACCCGAAAGCGTTATTAAGACAAACATTTACAAACAGAAATAAGAAAACAGTTACAAATTAACTGTTTTATAATTGTTACTGATTCAAACCGCTAATCGTAATGAGGACGCCATGAAAACTTTCATAGAAGTAACAAAAATGTACCGATGTGTAAACGCTAAGTACTGAGTTATATTTCCAATACTCCTCGGTGTTTTGCTGTCGTTCCTACCCGTTTGCTTACTTCTATGAATGTTTCCTTTTAGGGTGCTTGAAGAGAAACTCACATTTCGGCGTCTACCCGAAACTGCTGATGGCTGCGTGGATGGGCTACCTGTATGGAAGGATCTCGTACACAGCTGAGTGTGACGCGAAACTACGCCAGCTGCCCGCCTCCAGCCATCTCGGGAATGTGATGAGAAAATACCACATTGAGTGCGACCCTTCCCCTGGTCATAAAAAATAATTTTCCTGCCTATTTATTTTACGGTGCTTCGTCAAGTTTTATGCCTATTTTGAAGGCGTTGCTAGTACCAAAGTGACAATAAAAATCATTAAAGGAAATATCTATTTTTATTTCTTTCAATAATCAAAATAAATAATAGCGAAATATTATATTCCTTTAGAAACCGATTATACAAATTGATTTAGTTATAACAGCACCTCCATTAAGCCTCCGTCAACCGTGTTTTTTTTTTTGCACACCGTCAACCGTCACAGACGATACCGTCCCAGACGATAATTTGACCTACTTAAAGGTAGGGAAAAATTCCAAAAAAATTCAGGAAATATGTTCTTGATTTCTTTCTTCTGTTTCCATAGTTTTTGGTTTGAATACTTTACCCCTTGGTGAAATAAAATTTTGGAATTTCTACAAAAACCGTAAGTTCTAAGATTTCACTAAAAGATCGATATCTTGGATATAAATTAGTTTTAAGAAGAAATGTTTTGGAGACTTATTTTTTATACAACTTAGAATGGTAAACAAGCTGACGGCCCACCTGATGGAAAGTGGTAACCGTCACCTATAGACATGAGCAGTACCATGGACATAACAGAGTATACTGTTTCACCCATGATACCCCCCATGCGTTGCCATTCCTGAGGACTTTGATGTTATTCCTCTGTATCCTGTAAATTCACGCCATATCCCACCCTCCAAACCGAAACACAGCCATGCAATCACAACTGCTTCACGGTAGAAACACGAATGGGACAGAGGTACCGAATCAATCGACTTTTGTACAAAGTCTGCCTCTGGTCCGGGGTTCGAGACCGCGTCCTTTTTTTCTTATAAATCTATGCATCAGGTCCAAGATATTATCCTATACGGTTGGCAAAGGGTTAAATATGATACAAAGATGGTTCACTCATAGTTTCAGCAGTCCTGATATATCTGTAGGATTTTAAGTAAATTATTACGTCTGTACGTACGTCAAGAAAACAAGAGAGCGTAATTTCAGACGTCACCTTCCTGCCACTATTATCAGTTTATTGCTAATTGAATTAGGCATTTAACGTTTGATTTAATAACGAATTGCGAGAGTTTATATGCAGCACGTGCAAATTCCTTACAATGTGAGTACTAATGGATTATTTTGTACCAGTTTCAATGCCAATTTCGTTTATGATCGAGATTATTTCGTTTAGAATAGTATAAAATATATATAATTCAAGTATATCATACCATACTAGTAGCTTACAGACCATTGCTGAACATAAGTCTCTCCCATAAGGAGGGTTTTGGGGGTAGTTGTCACGCTTGGCAGGCAGGATGGCAACCGTAGTTTGGCTTTACCGAGGTTTTAAGAGGGACGCTGCTGACCATCGCTCGACTATTCAGTTCCTTTTTTTTTATACAACTTAGAATGGCAAACAAGCCGACGGCCCACCTGATGGAAAGTGACAATCGTCGCCCATAGACACGAGCAGTACCATGGACACAACAGAGTACACTGTTTCGCCCATGATACCCCCCATGCGTTGCAATTCCTGAGGACTCAGGTGTTATTCCTCTGTACCCTGTAAATTCACGCCATATCCCACCCTTCAAACCGAAACACTGCCATGCAAATACAACTGCTTCACGGTTGAAACACGAATAGGACAGAGGTACCCAAGCAATCGACTTTTGTACAAAGTCTCCCTCTGGTAAAGTTCTGTTGTGAAGTACAAATGTTCGCCTTATATTTCATAGAATGCAAATTCATTGTTCGGCAAATACAAGTTATTATACTTAACTACTTCAGTATTACGACGATTATTTATTAGGTTAACAATAATAAAATCATAGTAGTACGTTATAAAAAAACAATCAATAGCTTGTACATCTGTTCATGTACTATTTTTATTTCATACTGTCATAGGTACGAGCATGACCGCACTTACTGGAAATTCTAGACTTCTCCCTCAGTTAGAACATGGTCTGTTTTGGAATCAGTTTATACAAAATGATAAAACCGAGCTACCTGCTAGAGGGAGGAAGGGAATGTTAGTAATGGAGACTGAGAATCCTATTGCTAGCAATATACCCAACCAGGTCGACATCCTCGCGGTACCCCCTGGAAACTATCATGGTTAATTCCTGATGAATTCATCATGATGGGCTAACTGGCCTGTTTTCATTCTCATCTATCACCCTTCACTGGTGCTCCGCCAGCGTATCCCGTTAGCGCAGGCGGGGTTACCATACCATTTTCACCCATAAAAGAAAAAAAAAAACTACCTGCTAGAGGGTAGAAGGGATTGTTAGTAATGGTGAGGTTAGTCTCCATTACTATAAATATATCCTTACAGGTCTACCTCCACGCGGTTCCCGTTGGAAACTATCGTGACCAATTTATCGTTGAATTCGTCACGATAAGCTAACTGACCTGCCTTTTCATCCTCACCTATCACCTGTCACTGTACCCCGTCAGTGTATACCCGATAGCGAAGGCGGGGTTACCATGCCATTTTTACCCATAAAAAACTACCAGCTAGATATTATGTATACAAATTTTAAGTCGAAGAAATACATGTATTTATTTTTTATTGATCCATTTTTAACGTAGGCCTATAAACACAAACACAGACTGAAAAACAAACACATTTTTAATATTGCCTAATATGAATCTCTTTAATTATATATATTCTTTATTGCACTTGAAAAAAAAAAGATACAGCGATTAGTTTAACAAATTGGTAAACTAGGGTGGGTTAACTCTAAAAGAAATCTCTTCCAGCCAACCAATGCAGTGAGGGAGGAAATAATTAGCGGGCAATCTAGTGCAGAAAAGGTACAGGGAAATGAGATTAATAGAATATAAATAAAATAATTATACACACATAGTAAATAATTATTAATATATTTAATATATACACATATATAATACATATAACAAAAGCCTTATCGCTAAGCAATCTCTTCCAGACAAGTGACATAGTATATACACATATATAATACATATAACAGTAAGTGCATAGTAGTAAATATTATTATGAGTTAAAAAGTGAAATTTCAACCATTTTTTGAAGGAAGTAATAGAAGGACTGTCCTGTATGTTAGAAGAAAGTCTGATCCACAGTATACGTCTAGTGTAGCCTTTTCTTCAAAATCAAATTTGGCAAATTTATCACAATGTAGGTATTGTTAGGATTTTTATTTATATATTCTTTATTGCACTTGTAAGTTACATAGATATACTTTATCACATACTTATATACAATATATATATATATATATATATATATATATATATATATATATATATATATACTAGTATCTTCCTGGATTTTCATTATGCGTGAAATTTATCCTCAGCAAGTCAACAAGGGTGATTTTTAGCTGGCTTTTGTGTTTTTTATTCCTTTATTCACACAAGGTACCTATGGTATATTGTCCCAAACTCATTAGTGGTATTGAGCCCTTACGTTTCAGAAGAGACTGAAAAAGGTAAAACGGTAAAGTACTTACAAAGAAAGGTTCTTTGTATGCTTACTTTGTAGCTTTTAGCAATGCGTGCCATTTCTGCAGTTGTTTGGGTATGTATAAATTTCTATTACAGTATTGTATTCTGCCAGAAGCCTCATCTTAATTAAAATGTACTTACACTTGGTTACTAATTTAACTATGTACCCACTTAAGGGTCTTTAGTTTCGACTTCTCGCACACAGTGTGAGAGACAGATAGATTCCTCCATAAGATTACAATAGTAAACTTATTACGAATACAAACAATTACAAGAAAATATTCCACTAAGAAAATAATGGGCGGCCTTATAACTAAGAGCGATCTCTTCCAGGCAACCTTTGGATAGAGAAGAGTAATTATAAACAGTTTGACTGGAGGCACGAAACTGTTCGTTTTTTAAATACATCAGGAGCGCAATCATTAGCATAAAGAGAATATCCATAATCAAAATCCCCATGTAAATCCAGAGATAATTTTTATTCCTTTTTAATCCGCATGTAGGTCCAGGGATAAATTATCGTTCTTTTCAGTCTACAAATAAATAATTTTCTATTCTCATCTATCCAAAATTTCAGTTACGAGAATTGACCTATGTAACTACAAGGTTTAAACACGATGGCTTCCAAATAAACGAGTTGTCTTGACAGTGACAGAGTGTATAGCTACTAACAAACCGTTAGGCCCTACCTAATATTTCTTGCGTTAAGGTTGACAGATGAACATAAAATCATGACGAATTCACTAGGCACTAAATACGACGGTTTCCATAATTATCAGCCGGTACTGCATAGTGGTCAGTCGAGAGGAAAGTATATATTCTTAACAAAAATCTTAATACTGTTATTTAATAGCGTACGCTGCTTATATGCCCTACCCCAAATAAGTAGGGCTCTTAAGTAGTATTATACGCTAGAAAGAAACCTAATGTAGGTAACATCAAAGACTGCATTTTTCAATTTTTTCTATTCTATTGTTGTAAAAATTTTTGTTCACTGTAGATAAATGGTTAATTATTCTGTGTGAAGTTTGCATTCTTCTATATAGGTACATAAACTATTCTTAAAATACGTATCAAAGAATACGATGTAATTGTCATCTGTAGCTTCACTGGTCCAATGTCATTAGTGTCATCGTCTAACTGAATGTCAAATCCAATCCATCAATGCTGTCAAACTACCATTTTGTTGATGTCAGTCCAACATTGCCAGATTAGGTATTTTTTCGCGTTTTTGGGTAAAATTTTTTATAATTGCGTAATTTTGGAAAATTAAAAAAAAAAGTGAAATGTGCTAGGAGATATTTGGGTAAGTTTTTTAGTAATAGTTTTAGTACTTTTAAACTTAGTATAGGTATATACTCTTTTTTCTATTAGTGTTCTATATATTTACATCATGGCATCATCATCATCTCAGCTATTATTTATCCACTGCTGAACCTGCTTCCCCCATAGACGTCATATGTATATCTACTTTTATTTATTAAATAAGTACTGTACTTTAAAAAGGTACAAATAATATAAGACAACAATAAAACTAATAAAAGAGTTACTTATTATCAATAAGTATTTTAAATTTTAGGCATAAATACAAATTTAAATATTCACATCTCTTTTTAAGAAATTCACGACATTTTTAGTGTTGTAGATCTACCAAAAAAAAAATATCCACAATTGGATTAAAATTTTTAAAATGAAGTTACTCTTTTTTTCTATATATAAAAGAATTATAAAATTCTATCTATCGCGTGCTTTGTAATATAATCATAAGAAACCAACTTTATTTATGATAAAATATATAAATAAAGTTAAGTATTATAAAAGATTAAATATATACTAATAATATTGTTTTAAGTTAAATCCTTCATTTATCTTAATCTTAAGTAATAATTTCTAATTTGTCTTTGTACGTAGACATATTTTCTTCGATGTATTTGTAAGGAAACATTTTATCTACATAATGTTAGGGTAAATAATTACAGAAAAAATATGTAACTGAAGGTATATAACGAAAAAAGAAGAAGGAAGAGTAGAAACAGTAGAAACAACCTCCTTTCGTCGTTCATTTTGTGGAACGTGGTAAAACGTAGTGAAAAATGATACGTAGTGAAAGGATAAAAATCCTGAAAATGGTAATGATTTGAGAAAAAGTATTTAAAGTTTGGGTAAAAATTAAAACACGTATCTGGCAACCCCATTGCCGTCACTGATACTTGTATGTCTAACCTGTCTGTTATCAGTTTGGTTATGAAAATATTATCCTAATTATTTTTCTTTATTACATACGTTATTTTATAAATTATACACCGTCTGTGTCTTACATGTAACGCCTGTTAATAATAATGAACGATCCTAGTTCTTACGGCTACCAGGAGGGAGGGCCGGTTGACCTACATCAGCCGCCTGCACGTATAAATCCGGTAAGTTCTCCCCCTTTTGGGTGGTAATGGTCCTTCTGCAGTATGTAATAACTTATATTGTGTAGGCGCAGTACAGATTCTCCCAGGACGAGCTGCGTGTTTTAGCCGAATGCAATAGGGAGAGCTTTATCCAACGATCGCTTCCTTTGGGCATTGGGCTGGGATTTGGCACCTACACTGCTGTGCAAGCAGGTTAGATTTTTTTCATTTAAATATTTATAAAAAATCAATGTTAATCTTGATATATATATGTCTCTAATTACAACATTAATGCTATTTTAGAATTACTAATTGCTTGTGAAATTGCAAGATTTACATTTTCATTGTTTATTTTATTTATGTCTAGATTTTTGCCAGCTACTTCATTTGTGTGGATTTCAGATGTAGGAAAGCCAATTAAATAAACTTCAATCAAAATGGCGTATTAAAATAAAATATACGTCAGATTTTAAGTTAGATCTTTAGGAACAAAAATATGAAAAATATATCCAAAGCTCACTAGTGCACACATAAAAATTAAAGTATCAAACAATTATTATTATAATCAATTAATATTGATGCTGTAATTACTATGTGACGCTAGAACAAACATACAGATAGAAAATCAAACAAAATTTCCAAAATTTATTATTTTAGTATCTATTGGTCTTATTAACACTTAATGGACAGATCGAATTTGCTCTGTCTTTCCTAGTTTCCAGGTATTTTTTGGGAAAATTAAATAAACAACAGGCAGATAATACTTTAAATAATGACATAAAAAAAATAATAATGTGTTTAAAAAAGGAACCAAAATGCAACATTAAAAATTAATGCAAAAACTTAGATGTACATGGCCAGTTCTAGGAAGTTGGAATGGAAAAATTTAAAAATCTATCGTTAAGTGTTAACCCCTAGTGTTTTAGTGTGTGTTATTAAATTTCTCCCTAATTTTATTATATTGATTGAAACGGAGATAATACTTTTAATATGCAATGAGAGGATTTTAGAATGGAAAACTACAGAAAAGATAAGGAGACAGACTAGCAATATATATTTAAATGTAAAAACAATATGTCAAAAAAAAAATATAAATTTCGAATGACAATAAAAATATAAAAATGTAGCAAGGAGTTCGCTACAGTACGCAAAACACATATATATACGAGTACATATAATTGTATCTCAAACAAGGAGCTACAGCTGTATTTTACTTATGTCTCTGCAATGCTTTACTTCTCTCGTTTTTGAAATTGTGCTTTGCGAAATCATATATTTTAACTTTGTACTGTTGCACTTTGTTTACTGCGTATGTTCATGCGAATGTTTTTTATAATAATACCTCTTATACGTTATATAGATTTGAGGTAAGCCTCAACTGTGCCATTCAAACATGAGGTTACATTTTAATAACTTATGTACTTAATTATTATTTTAAAAGTTTACAATATTTTATAATGATTTTTTAATTTGTTGTTGTTGTTTTGAATGCATTACATTTAGTGTTCCGGTTTATTGCTCACCGCCAGAAGAATAGTTTGCGAATGATAATGTGCAGTGAAATAGCGATCCCTGACTAGTATATATTGCATCTAATTTGACGTTAGATACACAGGATGCATTTCTCTTCTCCGCAGGCCACTTAAAACCAAATGCCAGGTTCGGTGCTGTCCCCAAGGTGTCGCTGGCGGTGATTGTAGGCTATTTTCTTGGCAAGCTGTCCTATCAGCAAGCGTGCGCTGAGAAGTTGATGGCTCTGCCTGGCAGTTACATTGGCCAGCTCCTCAGGGACAGGAAGGATGGAAAGACTGGAGGGTATTTTAATTTATTTAACTATTATGTAATAATATAAATATGTTTTATTTAAGTAAATATAGTTCCAAGCATTTATGAATAGTATTTTTTTATGATTCTATCACTCATAAAAAAAATTTACTACATTTTTTTTTATACAACTTAGAATGGCAAACAAGCTGACGGCCTACCTAATGGAAAGTGGTAACTATATATATATACATAAGCAGTACCATGGACATAACAGAGTATACTGTTTCGCCCATGATATCCCCATGTTGCCATTCCTGACGACTCAGGTGTTATTCCTCCGTACCCAGTAAATTCACGCCATATCCTACCCTTCAAACCGAAACACAGCCATGCAAACACAACTGCTTTACGGTTGAAACATGAATGTGACAGAGGTACCCAAGCAATCAACTTTTGTACAATGTCTCCCTCTGGTGAATTCACTTATTTTAATTTAAAAACTAAACTACTGCACCGATTTTGGTATTTTTTTTTATGTATATAAGTCTGTGAGTATATTATTTAAGATAAAAATAAAAGAATTTTCCAAATCGGCTTGTAACTGAGGTTGTTATGGGGTAGGTATGACACATAAAAAAATCAACGGAATTGAGAACCTCCTTTTTGAAGTCGGTTGAAAAAAAATATTATTTTATTTTTTACAATATGAATTTTATTATTAACAAACATCATTTTAACTGCTGTGTATTGACAGCAGGTAGGGTAATATTATATATAGGAAAAATGTTAGGACACTTGATACGACACGACAAACGCATGAACATTATAATAGAATGTAAGATAGAAGGAAGAGGGAGACCGAGACATAGTTACATCAGGCAGATCAAGGAAGGAGTTGGTGTCGTGTCGTATCAAGAGGTGAAGAGACTCGCTGAAAATCGTAGTGAGTGGCAAGAGCTCCACCGACAAGAGCGCAGCTCTTAAATAGGATAGATAGACAGGGTAATATTATAAATTAAGCTGTGTGTATGTATTACAGGACATCTCTGCAAAACCAAACACCTACAATGTTCGGTGCGGGCCCCGGGGACATATATTCGGACGCGGGCCCAGGCAGCTCGCTCAACCTCGACACTGATCGGCCGCTCTTCAACGACGACACATACAGACCATCGTACACTGATAGTATGCATACACTTACTCCATAATACTTACATCGGACTGCTTTAGTAATAGTTTTGGGAGATCCAAAATAAATCCTGATCCAAATAATCTAAGAAATATAAAAAAATTAATAGTCCCGATAGATGGCGCTAGGAAAAATGTTTGCCAGGTTTCGTTTTGTATATTTATTTTGTCCTTAACAAATTGTCTTCTAATTAAATGTACATTATACTCATAGGTGCCAATACACCACCTCAAGAGTCGACTCCGGCGCGTCCTAACCTCTCGTACGAAGACTTGAGACGTAAAAATCGCACTGAATACTCGGAAACCAAGCAAGATCCTTACAGGTGATTACAAATATATAAAAAAAAAACAAGTTATCCAGCCTGGCTCTGCACGGGTATGTAGAATTCAGCCAAATCATAACCGTGAACTGTCCACTGCTGAACATAGGCGTCCCTCTATTGGGGAGTTTTGCCAGTAGTTACTATGCTTGGTGATGGATTCGCAACTGTAGTCAAGCATGAGTGATGTTTAAAGAGGGATGCTGCTGCCCATCCTTCTGCAATTAAGTACTATTAGTTGCTTCTTACCACATTCTCGGTAAAGGAAGAGATGGCCCATTCTATGCCGGGACCACGTGGTGATAATAAAAATTATATGTAGCCTATATTCGCTAAAAATGTAGCTTTCTATAGATGAATTTTTAAAATTGATTGAATAGTTTTTAATTTTATCCATTAAAACAAAAAAATCAAATGTTTGTTTATAAATATATATATTCTATTTAAATATATTTTCAGGGTGGACCCAAACACAACACCCGTGATCAGTCGTCCGCGGCCGCCGCCTTCTTCCCCGCCCCCTGCCACCAACAAATACGGTGACGTCGTGGAATAGCCGCCATCTTTGTGTGCAACAACTGACAAAATAATCCACAAAATGGCGCGCAACTATTGTATGTCCACTTAGGTAGTAGTCAAAGCTGTAATAAATTTATAGCTTATTCAAATTTGGACTTCATTGCAAAGGGTAAAGTAACAATTTGAATAAGCAACCATGAGCACGCGAGCAGATTTATCAGTTGATATTACTTTGTGTTCATAAAATCATGTTAATAAAGTAGTTAAGAGCTGGCGAGTGTATTTATTTGTACTGTTTTTTTTTTTTTTTTTTTTGCAGGCAAAAGACAATACTCTCAGCATACTTGTTTTTAGACAAATTAAAAATTATCATTTCATACTGCCATTTAGTCGACCAAAGTTCCCTGCAGACGATGGGCAAAAGTTCGTAGTCCCTTATTGTATTATATTGGTTGTTTACATTTCGTACGGAGAACCCAAAAGAAAAATTGTTTTGTTTATTGATAAAAATACCAATAAATCTCATGATGCGTACAAATAGCAATTAAAAAAATGAATAAATATACTAAGTCAAGAATTCAAGTCTGTACAAAAATAAGATAGAGTAAAACAAGGAATATAATTGGCTGAGCTGAACTTGTCAAATTGTCTCTCTGTTGTTTGTAGGTGTACTAACATTAGGCTAAGATCATGTTATTAAAATTGCTTCATTGTGGTCTTATTATAGTAGTTAATAGTATAACATATTATAATAATAATAATATACATATATTATTGTTATTATAAGTAATAGCCTTAGACTATATAAAGCATCGAGTTTAAAAAACAGGTCAACTTATTGTCATCTAAGTGTCAAATTAACTGACTCGTTTTTCCTCTAGTCACCTTTATATTTGCGTACATTTACATGACGTGTCTTGATGTATCTATATTTTTATTATTATAAAATTATTTATTTAGATAAAAATTAAAAAAATAGCATAAAAGGTTTAAAAATAAGATAAAATACATTTCAATAACTTTTACATTTAGTAAAGTTAGTTACAATTAATTAACTCATAAATTCTATCTTTATTCGTAGGTATTTCCAAAAACACGCATAAAATTAAAACTGTTTCCAATTAATTTATTTTGATACCAATACATGTTTTAAATCTACAATTTCAAAGAAATTGGTTATGTAAAAAAGAATTTAAAATGGCCGTCACTTTTAGTGATATTATCCATATATATTTACACACATGTATTTTATCAGAGGAAGACTTTGTACAAAAGTCGATTGCTTGGGTACCTCTGTTCCATTCGTGTTTCAACCGTGAAGCAGATGTGTTTGCATGGCTGTTTCGGTTTGGAGGGTGGGATATGGCGTGAATTTACTGGATACAGAGGAATAACACCTGAGTCCTCAGAAATGGCAACGCATGGGGGTATCATGGGCGAAACAGTATACTCTGTTATGTCCATGGTACTGCTCATGTCTATAGGCGACGGTTACCATTTTCTATTAGGTGGGCCGTCAGCTTGTTTGCCATTCTAAGTTAAATAAAAAAAAAGTATACTTTAAATAAATTGGTTGAAAATGCCGATTTTCACCCTTTACCACAAAATTATAATAATTTTTAAAGAAATATAAAGTTCTACCATATTCTTTGAAATATAATAATAAATAAATAAATATTAAAGAGTAATTAGTAAAAAAAAGTATTAATTTTTTACTAATAATATTTTAATATAGAACCTTCACCTTAATGTAAGTTAATAAATTCTAATCTGGTAACCCTATCACGCACACATTTATAAAAAAGTTGACCTATTTTTTTTTTTCGAGGCATGTGTATGGGAGACACTGTCTATATAATCTAAGGTAAGGCCAAGAAAAGAAAAAGACCTGCACTAATTAGAAAAAAAAAGTTTATTATATTTTCACTAAGGTCTATTTTCCAAGTAACACTGAAGTTATAGGTGGTACCTATTAGGCCTTAATCGTGCCAAAGGTATATTCTTGAAAAACGTTTCTGTAATTGTTAATTAAAAGTTAACTAAATAAAAATTTAGTAGTTTTTTTTCAACAAATAAGCAGTATCCGTCGTCTATAGACATGAACAGTATCATGGGCATAACGGAGTACACTATGCCATTCATGATACCCCTAATGCGTTACCATTCCTTATGACTAAACTCAAGTATATTGTAGGGTAAGATTGTCAAGTCGTATTTTAAGACTAGCAACGTTACCCTATAAAATACATTATGGCTGAACATTGAATATCACTACCGTCGTATTATCTGCTGCTCATTGCTGAACATAGGGAAAGTAGTTGCCATGATTGGCAAGCGGGTTGGCAACCGCAGTTAGGCTTTAAGTAATGTTTCAGTAGGGATGCTGCAGCCGAACCCTTGATCATTAAGTTCCCTTAGTCGCCACTTACGCACCCACAGGATGGTTAAAGGATATATTATACCGAGGTACAATAAAGAAAACAGGAATTTTTTAAAAACATTATCTTTATTACGCATATAACTAACGATAAACTTAGATATATAATTCAAAACAAAAATGGAAATGTGCAACATGACTATTATTTTCATATGCGACAGACCCACGGCTGATCGCCCCGTACATGTCAAACATGCTTATATTAAAATTAAAAAAAAAAAAAAACTTTAACAAAATGTAGTTTATAAAAAAAAAAGTACAAGGACAATATAACATATTTCACACAAAACACTCATTCTCTGAACCACGAATGGCGACGTTTAGTTGCTATGGTTACAATCGCAATAATTTATATAAGGTAAGTTGAGCCTCTAGTAAACGCGACCGTCCAAGTAGACCTATGAAGTACAAAAAGCGACGTTATCCATAAAGCAATAGATTCCAGACAACCATTCGAATAAATTTCTAGTTTTGATGTTATATAAAATGTGTTAGAAATCCACAACATATTAGTTCACTATTGGTGGTCCAGTGTAGCTAATCTACATTGATTCATTCATGAATTGGTTCTTGGTGATTTAGAGGCGTGTACTGTAAGCATACACCCGCCGTCAGTCGAAGATTTTGTCAATAGGGAAGCTGGCCCACAGCTCTGTACAGATGGCGCCACTGAGACACACGTAAATGATAGCAAACAAAAAGACTTTCATCTTCTAATTTTCAAAAAATCCAAATCTTCAAAAGTTTTTTTTTAATAAATTTACAAACTAAAAGCAGACTTGAATTTTGTTGAATTTTAATTTAGTACAATGGCAACCCATTGTGATAAATATAAATGGCAATAAACTTCCCTATTAACAAAAGCGAACCAAAGACAAGATTCACACATTAATTATATTTACAATTATGGCATTGATGAGATATATTTAATATAATTCCGAATTTGTAGTGAACACTTAATTTAGTAGTCTGATTTTGAGACAGGCCTGCGAAATAAAATGTCGAGTGGATTCTTAGAGGTTTATGCTATTAATAAATTCTTTTATTTATTTATTTTTTCATTTAAACTAGAAATATCGTTAAATATAAATAAAAATTCAACGATACGTTAGTTGGTCGTCTATCAGTGGACACTGGCTAGACAAATTACAAGAAAATATAAAAAATCAACATGTTTGTTAGTTGCCGTGACATATACATGTATTGTACTTGTGAGTTATTACTTTCCTATTTGATTAATAAGTTGGCAAGAATAAGGTAAGATAAAACTCTCAAGTATAGAACGTATTTTAACACCACAACTTCGTACAGTACGATTACTGAAGACTTGTAATTTACCGTATCACGGTACGGCACAATTTCTCGTCACGATAAAAATAACGTGACGTGGCTCTCCCGATTCCTATCATACAAACAAAATATGTCTATTCAATTGCCTGACTGTAAATAGACAAAATATAGATGTTTAGATATTTTTTTAATTATTTCCGTTACAATAAGTTTTGGCTAAAACAATATGTGAAACTATTTCAAATAGATAACATTAGCAGTTGCTGTGACAGACAGATCGACCGACAAAGTCGCACAATGAAGGTTCGTTTGTACCTTTTTGGGTCGCAACCCTACAACTAAGTACCTGTACTCATTTCTACCCTGTTGTTGAATCGAGCACTAGAGGCACGGCAACCTACAAAGTCGAACGATTAAAAGGTCAATGTAATTTAAACTTTAGTTACATTATTATTAAGGCCATAAAAGGCGACAGACACTCGCCACGTACCAACCAGTATTATAGACATAGTAAATTGCTAGTTATCAAAAATATCACAATAATTTTTTTTTTGGAAGTCAATCTAGCAATCATAATTAATATCTTTGCTGATATAAAATTTTGTTTAATCTGTAAATTTACAGATTTTTTTCTGTATGCTCATTGACCTACCACCTGATGTCTTACACTATTAATAATTGTTAATGTTGTCCGATTTCACTGATGGTTTTCTACAATAATTGTATATAAAACACGATAGCTATTGGCCCCACGAATTGTTTATATTAATGATACAATAAATTCGTATTATAATTAAGATTCAGTGTACTATCATAGTACAATATGATACATAGTATATATACACAGTCAAACCTGTATAAGTGGAGGGACTGCAATCTCTTTTTTTCTTACAGAGGTTTCTCACTAACATTTTAGTGAGAAACCTCTATAAGATATAAGTAAACTGTGAGTTTAGCTTACAGGAGAGGCCTATCTCACTACACATAGAGGTCTATTAAAATACGGCTAATGTGTGCGTAATTAGAAAAAAAAAAATTGGAATTTTCTCCGCTTCTCTATCCAAAATATGTGATTGACTGGTATCATCTTGTCTGTCATTTCCATCAGTACACGTCCTCACAATGTTTTGACCGATATCGTTATAGATTTAACTGTCGTTTCTAGAGGTATAGGCAAGTAGCAATCTCATTTGAAGAGGTAAGCGGGTGAAAAATTTGTGTCACGTATACAGGTTATGTTACTCACTTTTAAGTGGGCAAAATGACGGGACCTGGTAAATATTCTCATTAATAGAGTTTTCTCGTTTATCCAGTTCTCACTTACTCAGGTTTGACTGCAATATGTTTTTCTATATCTGGCACAAATGGTGGGCAATCTTCAGATTTTTTTTTATATAAATTAATGACTTAAAAACAAATTTAACTAAATGTAACTTTACATGCTCAAGTATACAGGCAACGGTTTCAGCTTGTTTGACATTCCTAGTGGTATAAAAGAATATCCAATATTAATATAAATTTACCAATTAATATGAAAAAATAATAAAGAGGCATTCTTAAAATGTTATTTGTACCAAATATAGAAAAAAACATTTTACTTAATTTCAATTATATAATGAATAATTAAAATAAAACTAATTTAATAGAAATAATAAGTAGGTCGCCATTTTGACATCAAACTACTCCTATCCAGTCTCAGAATTTTGTAGCTTTTGTACACTTTTTTTAATTGAAATTGAGAGATTGGTTTAAAAAGTGAGAAGTAAGTGTCCGTAGGAATTAGGTGCGCTTTTATTAATCAGAATTAAATTCTGTTTACTGTTTTTAAGCAGTATCATTTTGCTCTGTCATTTCGGTGACAATTTGGGCCAAATTATTTTGTTTATAATTTATTATGGAGACACTTTATTTGTATTATACAAAAGTAACTGCAGCCCAGCATAAGCTAGCTAACACGGGAGGTACCATTCCAATTTCATGTATTAAAAAAAATTGCCCCAGCTGCACCCAATCATATCGACGGATAGTTAGTTAATTTATCGAATAGTCAACAAAAACAGTAATTTGAAAAACAAAAAAAAAAAACTCAGTCGATTTGGAAACATAATCATTTACCTAATATATATATAAAATTTCTTTAACACATCGTATACCTAATTAACTAATCCAATAATATAACCATAAAGACCCTTCGGGCGAATGAAACAGAAAAAAAAAAACATTACCAAGTCAAGATCTTTAATGCTTTACAAACATTATGTGGCTAATATAGAGTGCAATTTATGGGGTCGATTCCAAGACATCAGTGCTAATATATCACTAGAGGGGGGAAAGGGATTGTTAGTAATGGGGTCAAATGGCCCTCAATATACCCTGTCAGGTCGACCTCCACGTGGTTCACCCTGGAAACCATCGTGAACAATTCTAGTTTAATTCGTCAGGAGACGGGCTAACTGACCTACTTTCATCTTCGTCTGTCATCCCTCACTGGTGCCCGGCCAGTGTATACCAATAGCGCAGACGGGGTTACCATACCATTATCATCCATTAAAAAAAATCTCTAAAATAAAATTCAATTAAAACATATGAGTGCTAAATAGAACTATAAAGCTTTAGTTAATGCAGATATTCAGATCTGAAATTTTTGTTTTTTTTTTGTTTGTTTTTTTATTTGTGCTTTTTTATTTTCATTATTTCATCTCTTTTGCTGTGTATTATGTGTATGTCTTTTTTTTTTAATTGTAATTTGTGTGCTGTAAGTAATGTAAATAAATTATCCATCTATCTATCTAACTGCAAAATTAGAGAATTGTGTTTAAATATCGACCCCAACACTCTAAAATTGATGAATCAATAAATTTATCTACTTAGAAACGTAATAGTTTTAATTGGACACACTGTTTAGTCAATTTAGAAAATTAAATTTAATAATTCATGTCCTGTGGTCATAAATATTCAACGAACAGTCAGCATTAATGTTTGGCACATGTTATTATAGACTTTATTCACTACACTGTAGAGTTTAATTATAAATATATATATGTACTTAGTACAAATGTCGGCAAGCACACACAAGCTATGCATACTTGTAAAATTGTATATTTTGTATAGAACAATAATTTCATTTTTTTTTTTTTATTTATAATAATCAGACTAGGAATTTAGTTTCGAAAAGTGCAACACTATTACCCACTTAGATATAGGAACACTTAATTGAACATATAATAGCATAGTTTTTTTTTCACCTAACAAAGTTAAAACACTTTCTGCGAATCGTACATATCTTATTTTCTAATTTTAATAGGTAATATATATATATATATATATATATATATATATATATATATATATATATATATATACGAGGTTTGTCCGGAAAGTACGTATAAAAGTTTTTTAAAAATTTTATTTTACAATTATTCAGGTAAATCAATTTTATCCCCTTCAAAGTACTCCCCCTGTGACATAATGCACTTGTGCCAACGCCGTTTCCACTGTGAGAAGGCTCCTTGAAAGTCCTCTGGTTGTAGGTTTCTCAGCTGCCCCGTCGTAGCTTTTTTTATCTTATTTATGTCCCCCAAATGCCGCCCCCGAAGTACCAATTTGGTTTTTGGGAACAAGAAGAAGTCACACGGGGCCAAATCCGGCGAATAGGGGGGTGTTCGGTCACCGTAATGGAATTTTTACTCAAAAACTCACGGACAACAAGAGAGGTGTGGGCAGGGGCATTGTCGTGGTGAAGAATCCAACGCCCCTCTCGCGCCAATTCTGGACGAACTCGTGCCACACGAGCTTTGAGGCGTCTGAGCACATCGACGTAGAATTTTCCATCAACTGTCTGGCCTGGAGGGACGAATTCTTGATGGACAATCCCCCGAACATCGAACTCTTTCTCGGCCCTCTCTGAATCTTTTTAGCCACTTGTGGACGGTTGGTTCCTTCACAGCATCATCCCCATAAACTGTTCTGAGATCGGCAAAAATTTCACGGCCATTCTTGCCGAGTTTCGAGATAAACTTGATTACGACGCGCTGCTCTTCAACGGAAGCGGGCTCCATGCCGACGGGGTTTCGTTAAGAGGTAACTTCACAGATGGCGTGACAAGCCAGTTCGCACCGCACGGCGGTCAGACCAGAACTGAAGCATTGTTAGGGACATAAGGAAGGGGTCCTGCGCTTACCTGGCCTCCCCACTCCTCTTTCTCGCATTCCAGAACACTTTTATACGAACTTTCCGGACAGACCTCGTATATACCTATACAAAATAAATTCATATAAAAATTCCTTAATTAATATCCTAGTAACAAAATTTTCGTAAACAATAATTATCTTTAAACAGAAAAAAAAAACTATAATTCATATAACAGTCACGCGCGTTACCTTACAATAGACATGTCGGAAGCGCTGCGTCCTCAACATTTACTTTAAGAAAATGGCAACACAGATTTTTTTTTGGCTGTCGAGACTTATAGTTAACGACGGAATTTATACAACGGTCCAAGCAGAGTACCGGCGCAGTCTAACAATGTTTATTGGCTTGTAATTTAAAGGCGAGTAGAATCAGAGTTTACTTAGATAAAAAAATTTACAATCTGCGAACTACAGAGTTCGTATTGTACAATTCTATGAAGAGAATAGGCGTATATTAAAATGTAATTTAAATATATATATAACTACTAAGGACAGAAGGGGAAAAATATTGGGACACTTGATACGACACGATGAACTTATGAACATTATAATAGAAGGTAAGATAGAAGGAAGGAGGGGGAGAGGGAGACCAAGGCATAGTAAATCAGGCAGCTCAAGGAAGGAGTGGGTGTCGTGTCATGTCGTATCAAGAGGTGAAGAGACTCGCTGAAAATCGTAGTGAGTGGCAATAGCGCATATATATATATATATATATATATATATATATATATATATATATATATATATATATATATATTATTATTATATAATATTTTAATATATTTACTACATTAGCCGTTAACTACCCACTGCTGAATATAGACCTTCCTCATAAGAGAAGTCTTGCCAGTAGTTGCCATATTTGTCAGGCACGTTGGCAAATACAGTTAGGCTATGGCGATGTTTTAATAGGGACGCTGCTGCCTATCTCTCAACCTTCAATATATAACTAAGATTTTATTTAGTAAGTATATATACATACCATGATTGTTAATTAAATTAACTTGACAGGCTATCGCATGTATGTATGTATGTATGTAAATTTTTTTATGCGCATGTAATCTACTTGTACCGCATTCCGTCCACAACATCATACTAATTATTTCAACATTCAGGTATCAATTGTAAAAGAAATATAACACGTAGTATGTTCGAACAACAATACAATACAACAGTGTGTCTGTACCCACACATTAATAGGTAACATAGAAAAAAAAAAGAAACTATACGAGGTTTGTCCGGAAAGTACGTATAAAAGTTTTTTAAAAATTTTATTTTACAATTATTCAGGTAAATCAATTTTATCCCCTTCAAAGTACTCCCCCTGTGACATAATGCACTTGTGCCAACGCCGTTTCCACTGTGAGAAGGCTCCTTGAAAGTCCTCTGGTTGTAGGTTTCTCAGCTGCCCCGTCGTAGCTTTTTTTATCTCATTTATGTCCCCCAAATGCCGCCCCCGAAGTACCAATTTGGTTTTTGGGAACAAGAAGAAGTCACACGGGGCCAAATCCGGCGAATAGGGGGGGTGTTCGGTCACCGTAATGGAATTTTTACTCAAAAACTCACGGACAACAAGAGAGGTGTGGGCAGGGGCATTGTCGTGGTGAAGAATCCAACGCCCCTCTCGCGCCAATTCTGGACGAACTCGTGCCACACGAGCTTTGAGGCGTCTGAGCACATCGACGTAGAATTTTCCATCAACTGTCTGGCCTGGAGGGACGAATTCTTGATGGACAATCCCCCGAACATCGAAAAAAACAATCAACATTGTCTCGGCCCTCTCTGAATCTTTTTAGCCACTTGTGGACGGTTGGTTCCTTCACAGCATCATCCCCATAAACTGTTCTGAGATCGGCAAAAATTTCACGGCCATTCTTGCCGAGTTTCGAGAGAAACTTGATTACGACGCGCTGCTCTTCAACGGAAGCGGGCTCCATGCCGACGGGGTTTCGTTAAGAGGTAACTTCACAGATGGCGTGACAAGCCAGTTCGCACCGCACGGCGGTCAGACCAGAACTGAAGCATTGTTAGGGACATAAGGAAGGGGTCCTGCGCTTACCTGGCCTCCCCACTCCTCTTTCTCGCATTCCAGAACACTTTTATACGAACTTTCCGGACAGACCTCGTAAGAGAATTGCTAAAGTTAACGCAACAATACAGTTAAATGGCAACTATTTTTAGCAATAAAAAAATAATTTTAAAACAATATAGTTGGCAATTTTTTTTTTTTATTTCAAACTTGATTGACCTTTAATAAGGACACTTATAGAATCATAAATGTATCTCTTAATACAATATAAAATGCACGGTCTCAATGTTTAGTCCGAACTTTCATGACTTATCGACCTAGTGATAAAAATCATGGAACTAAATCATTTTTCCCGTCACCATTAACAGCCTTTCACTGTCCACTGTTGAACATAAGCCTCCCCCTTGCAGGGTTTTGCCCGTAGTTGCCACGCTTGGCAGGCAGATTGGCAACCGTAGTTAGGCTTTGGAGATATTTTAAGAGGGACGCTGCTGCCCATCCCTCGCTATCTCTTAGTCGCCTCTTACGACATCCACGAGAAAGGAAGGGGTGGCCTATGCTAAGCCGGGACCACACAGACGATTTTTCCCCTTGGATAAAAGAAATTCCACTACTATTTTAAATAGGAAAATTTAGATATATATGTTACTCAATAATACTAAAATAACCGAATGGATACCGCACCCATGAAACAACCATTAGGGATTAGGTTTGAATTGGGATCGGTATGCAATAGTTTGCATTGGCTACACCAATATGTACCCACCACAAGTTTGGTACGTACACAGTTGGTAGGGTTGGCACATAGGTTATTTTTATCCACGGGATTCAGCTAATATCAAATGTAAAAGTTTGTAAAGATGCTCGGACCATTGTGACTCGATCACGACCAGTAAGGTGGATAGATTTGAACAAAAATGGGTGCGGAGTGGGACGATTGAGTAACGTGCAAAATGAAGGTACCCTCACTTTACAAAATTTTTGGATTATCTCGGCCATGGTGCACGGTTTCACATGAGTGCTATCACTAGGTTTCGACTTGGTATACCTTCTGACTCTATACATATTCTGAGATAAAACACGAGATTTCATTGTAATCTTAGATCAAATACCTCTAGCCTAGATAGAGTATCTCAATAGACATACTTCACCGAACACAGACCAAAGTGTATATTTGTATTAAACGATAAAAAACAATTCTTAAATTGATAAAATGCTACAGATCTGCAGGATTTTTAAAGGAATTACATTGCGACACTGAAAAATAGCTCATATTTCTTATATGAATCAGCCAAACGCCACTTGGACTGGCTGATCGTATTTGACGTTCCATTCCATTCTGTTGCGAATTCAATTTGAGATATATGATCTAAGATGGTACTACAGTGTCTATGGCAGAGGCCAGGGCAGCCCCGAGATGTTGATAGGACCGCCGAGGCCCGCGTCGGCTTCCAAGAGGCTCATAATGACGGCCATAGCCGCTTCGCCATTACCGTCTATACCAAGCGTCGGGAGAGGAGGTGAAGCCGGCGGGGGGGTGCCCATGGGCATGGGTTCACTCGTGGTGGGCGGCGGCGAGTTGTCCGCGCCGGCTGAGCTCAGGGACACGTTATTCCTCACTTGGCTGTAGGAAGCCATATCCATGCCGAAGATATTGTCCACTAGCGACCCCTGGCCAGAGACAAACTGTTCTAATATGTTAGTGGATTTTCGTGTACATGTGAGACGATTTTGTAAAGGTATTAGGACCGCTATCTAGTAGATAGAGCGACAACCTCAGATGTGTTGTAGGAAGTCCATGAACGCAGTTGCATCCATCGAAAATTCTACAGAGAACGATCATGCCCCCATAGACAAAATACAAACGAATCTCTTAATAGAATAGTTGTCGCTAGCGATTCTATCGATTCATTTGTAGCTTGTCTAGGGTGGCTGTACTAACTAGCTAGTTGAGCTTTCACTACAGAATTTTATGGGTAGGATAGGATCTATATTCATTAGTGGAAAATGAGTAGCTAAAATTGATTATTTCTGGCAAGAATTGAATCTTTTCCATCGATCGAAGACTACGTGAATACTGTTAAAGCGACTCAGAGTATTCATCTCCGAATAATATAACTAACTGGCCATTTCAGTAATGGACGGCTGTACCTTATCGGATCAATTTTTACCTCTTTTTTTCATTGAAATCAAGTACTCTCAATTACAAATACAAAAAGAAAGAATAACCCAAATATGTGCAACTGTTCTGAAGCGCTGCATTTATTCGAATTTGACAATTGATTTTCTATTTATATAGATATTCCTTGTTGTACTGGGAGCTTTTCGTTTGTAGTTGCTTTTATATTGATTTCGTAAGTAAACTCTCTATCGCCATCATGTTAGTCATAACTTATCTACTGCTAAACATAAGTCTCCTCCTATTGCGAGATTCTGCCAGCAGTAACCACGCTTGGCAGGCGGTTTGGCAACCGGCGCATCCCCCGAGTGGTAGGATGAGCACGCCATCCACCCTATCTTGAGAGAGGAGACCTGCTCTTACCATCAGGGGGCGGGTCGCTGCCGTCGGAGATGTGGTGAGTGCGAAAGCGAACCCATGTCTCCGACATATGGCACCTCGAGGGTATATCGTCTGGTTTTTGGTGGGTACACCCCCACTTTACGGGAGGATTCCCACAGCACCCATTCACCTCCCACAAGGTGTATGGGTCTGCATAAAGCATTTTCCAGAGGTTAAAAAAAAGGCGGTTTGGAAACCGCAGTTAGCCTTTGGTGATGTTTTAAGAGGGATCCTGCTATCCATCCCTCTTTTTCTCTCGATCTCTGTAATTATAGTAAAAAAAAGGTACCTGCTGGTTGAAGACAGCGTCGTGGAGCAGGTCAGCGGGCAGGTCGGGCGAGAAGTCCGAGGAGGAGCGGCGGAGGGCCTCGTCGGCGATGGCGCTGCCGATCTTGTGCGACTCCATCTGCGAGTCGATCAGCCGCTGCATCTCCAAGTCGTTCTCTGAAACGCCACTCTCTACATGACCGGGGAGCGCGTCATCGCCCGCTGCACATATATAGCACGCTATACACACATGGATTCGTTCGACAATTTTTAAACGAATAAATCATTACTAATTATTAAAATCAATGTTACCTTCTCTTTATACAACTTAGAATGGCAAACAAGCTGACGGCCCATCTGATGGAAAGTGGTAACCGTCGCCTATACACATGAGCAGTACCATGGACATAACAGAGTATATTGTTTCGCCCATAATACCACCCATGCGTTGCCATTCCTGAGGACTCAGGTGTTATTCCTCTGTACCCAGTAAATTCACGCCAATATCCCACCCTTCAAACTGACAAAACACAGCCATACAAGCACAACTGCTTAACGGTTGAAACACGAATGGGACAGAGGTGCCCAAGCAAACAACTTTTGTACAAAGTCTCCCTCTGGTAATGCAACATTCTATTGATATAATAATTTTTAAATTAGGTTAAGTATTTTTAAGGTAATCTATTCATCGTCATCATATCAGCTTTTAACTGTCCACTGCTGAACATAAGCCTCCCCCTAAGGGGGAATAATTGGTCCCGCCAAATTGCTTATATATTTTCATTTAATAATTGGTAACAACTGATAACATTTCATTCCTATAAAAAACTAACAATGCGAAATGCATTAGGTATAAACAGAACATAGTCCACTGCTGGTCACAAGCCTTCCCCAAAAGGGGAGTTTTGCCAGTAGTTGCCACGCTAGGCTTTAGTGGTATAAAAAAAAAGAGATGTTTTAAGAGGGACGCTGCTGTCCGTCGTCCTCCTTAAGTCACCTATTACGATACTCATGGAAAAAGGAGGGGATGGCCTATTCTATGCTGGGTCCACACCGCCAATGTCTATTATAAACAAATATATGAAAAAAAAATTCTATGAGATTTAGAAACAATGGCAAGAGTGGAATTTAAGGAAGAAGAGTAAGTACTCACTGTGCCTGAACATGTCGTAGGAGGATTGCGGCTCTTCTTGGCCGAGGAGCTCGTGCGCCTCCGTGAGGGTGGTGTTGTTCGCTACCAGGCACTCCACGTCCTTCGTCCACGGGTTCCTGCGGCATTACACACATTTTGTAATATTTTTTTTATACAACTTAGAATGGCAAACAAGTTGACGGCCCACCTGATGGAAAGTGGTAACCGTCGCCTATAGACATGAGCGGTACCATGGACATAACAGAGTATACTGTTTCGCCCATGATAACCCCCATGCGTTGCCATTCCTGAGGACTCAGGTGTTATTCCTCTGTACCCAGTAAATTCACGCCATATCCCATCCTTCAAAACGAAACACAGCCATGCAAACACAACTGCTTCACGGTTGAAACACGAATGGGACAGAGGTACCCAAGCAATCGACTTTTATACAAAGTTTCCCTCTGGTACACGACAGGCGGGTACACTTACTCCCATTTACCACCAAAATAACTATTTTTACGGCAAGTCCTTTACGGGCTTTAAAAAGAGAATCTAATGCTAGAGACATCTATCCTTATAAGTATCTCTTGCTTCGTACATTTTTATAATTCGTGGCAATCCCCTCTAATTCTGGAGACTTTATCAAAGTACACATCATATAGTCTCAACTGGGGGAGTACACTGCCAGTAATGAGATACTGATAAATAGACCCTATTACTAACAATCCCCCCCCCCCCCACATTTGCAAATAGATATTTCAATTAGAAAACAAACAAAAATTAAATTAGACTTTATAAGATATATGATTAATTTACAGAAATTAATTTAGATTTTAATAGCACCCTCCCCCCCCGATTCCAACCAATTCCAACACTTCCTTCCCGGAAAGGAGCTCCCCCTTTCCGGGAAGGAAGTGTTGGAATTGGAATTGTTATCCCGCTAGCGTACACCGAAAGAACAGACTTATATTACCGTTTCATTTTCATCATGTAAAAAATATCATCTTTCAGGACATCTATCTCGTTTTAGGTCCTCCTACCACTATTATTCTATATTATCACCATTCCTCAATCAGACACTTATGGAAAGTTAAATAAAACCTTGTAAAAATTACCTGAAAGGCTTGAAGTGTGTCTGTATCCTGGCCAGGGTGCCGTCCTTCCGACGGAACGAGTACGGCGGCGTGTGCATTGCGTCGCGCTGCAGCAGCGCCGTCTTGTGGGTGCGGGCCACTGCACCCAGCTCGGGCCCGCTCACGTATTCGTACAGGCTGGTGCCCAGCAGCTCTTGCGGGAGGAATCCCAGGGCTAGTGTCACTCTGCCGATATAAACAATATTTATGGGGGGGGGGGAGGGATTGTTCTCAATGCAGACTACTGCCCCATTGCTAGCAATATACCCTGTCAGATCGACATCCCCGTGGTCCCCCCTGGAAACCATCGTGCTGAATGCCAGGTGTATCCATCACTGCGGGCTAACTTACCTGCCTCTTCATTCTCACCTATCATCCCTCACTGGTGCCCCGCCAGCGTATACCGTCAGCGCAGGCGGGGTTACCATTCTATTATCATCCAGTAAAAAAAAAAAAACAATAATTATCAGCTATCCACTGCTAAACATGGCCTATGTTTAGCTGTATTCCCCTATACACTACCATAAGGAATGGTCCCGAGTTCAAGAACTAGGGGCCATGTATTCCTGGTACTTGTAATTAAGGGATTTAGCTAGTTGCCACGCATGACAGGCGAGTTGGCATCCGCAGTTAGACTTTGGTGATGTTTTAAGAGGGGCGTTTTGTGTTTTAATTATATTAATGAAAACATAAAACTTATTCAATTCAGAGTGCCTCTTGAAATTAATTAAAATATTATTAATATAAAATTTAAATCATATTGCAATAATCATTAAGTCTAAAATAAATTTCAAAGAAGAATTGAACTATATAAACTACAACTATATATATATATATATATACCTACAATCTGTATGTCTATAGTGGCACATTAGTAAACAAACGTGGTCTTTTCAAAATCGACTTCTAAAAGAAGTGTTTAAGAGAGAGATTGATAGATTGAGAGAGTAGATTTTTTGTCTGTTTCCTCATAACTCCGTCAATTGTAAATCGAAATAAATCTATAGAGAGGTCAATTCTGTACAATTGGTAATTGATACTGATGCCAAAAATGCAATCAGTAAAATTCTGTCTGTCTGTCTGTATGTTCGTTATAGAAACAAAAACTACTCGACGGATTTTAACGAAACTTGGTACAATTATTCCTCATACTCCTGGGCAGGTTATAGTATACTTTTCATCACGCTACGATCAATAGGAGCAGAGCAGTAAAGGAAAATGTTGGGAAAACGGGAGAAGTTACTCCAATTTTTAAGCTTCCGTCGCGTTAATGGCCACTTTTTAAAATGTAAAAATGTCCACCCGTGCGACGCCGGGACGGGCCGCTAGTCATATATACTTTAACACAGATAAAATAAACTTTATGCAACTGGATTTAATGACTTAATTCCCTGTACCACCATACTATGTTTCCCTCCAGTCAGACCTCTGGACGCAGGAATGTTACTTTATATTCCGTTGGATCTCGCGGGACTTAACGCTTACAATTTATACAACTCCTCGACATCAGTCTGGATAGCGAGATGTACATAAAACTGGATTTACGACACGACTGCTGCGTTCGAAAACTCAGCAAGTGACCCCAAGAAATAAAGGAAGACAGGTTTAACAGACAGCCAACATTGTAAACATATTCGTTTATACCACGAGATCGCGTGTTTACCTATATTTCAATGTACTGAGTCTCCCACCCGAAGAATGTGTATTGGCGACCCGCACGAATACTACAGTTAAAGGAGTTAAGAGGCCGGCTGAAAATCAGCGCTATAATATAGGTACAGGGGGAAAGGGATTGTTAGTAATGGAGACTGAGAATCCCATTGCTAGCAATATACCCAACCAGGTCGACCTGTTCGCGGTTCTCCCTGGAAACTATCATGGTTAATTCCTGATGAATTCATCACGATGGGCTAACTGACCTGTTTTCATTCTCATCTATCATCCTTCACTGGTGCTCCGTCAGCGTATCCCGTTAGCGCAGGCGGGTTACCTTACCATTTTAACCCACCAAAACAACATATAGGTACATCTCGCTGGAAGTGAGCATATATAGCAACAGCCGAGGCGGCTTCTATTGCCAGCAAAATGAATTGTTTTTTTTTTAGTTGTTTATTTAATTATTATTGTTGGTAATAAAGATAGATAATCTATATGTCTCGCTTTACAATAAGCGGTTTTTCATTCTGCAAGGGAAAATGGCAGCTACATTCATTACAATAAGGTGTAATGTAAAGCTAATTTAAAAATCTTGCCTCAATATATCTTTAATTACAAAATAATCAACAAAAACCACAAGTCCCGATTCTAACGCCATCTAGTATTACGTGTACAATTTTGTTTAGTGACCAACTACCTTAAGAGAGGGGAAAAGGATTGTTAGCGATGGGGCTTAACAGCTCCAATGCTAGCAATGTTACTACTCAGGTCGACCTCCACGTGGTTCCCCCTGGAAATCATCGTGGTTACTTCTCGTGGAATTCTTCACGATGGGCTAACTGACCTGCGTTTTCATCCTCACCTATCATCTATCACTGGTGCTCCGCCAGCGTATACCGTTAGCGCAGGCGGGGTTACTATTGCATTATCACTCATTAAAAAAACTACCCTAAGAGACTTCATTTAATATCACCTGGACTGTATATAGCTATATATTACCTATGTTTTTGAAAAAATAGAATCAGATGTACTAAGAATCTTCTTTTTGTAAAGTAAATGGATTTTTCCCTATAAAAATATGGAGCTATGTGTGTATGATTTAAAATAATCATACACACACAGCTCCATATACTATATGGTCATATATATATATATATATATATATATATATATATATATATATATATATATATATATATATATATATATATATATATATATATATATATAGTATATGGCCATCAAAGTACGTATGGTGCTGTATGTATGATTTAAAACGTACCTCTGATCGACAAACAGGAACTTGCCATCGGTGGCGTGCCTGGAGACGTACTGGAGGCGCCTGGTGGGCGGCTCGGGCGGGGCCGGCGCGCGGGGCACCTGGGCCGGCATCAGATCCGGCAGGGCACGCCCCACCGCCACCAGGCACGACAAGTTACACGCGTCCCCTTCCTCGCCCCCCTCCGCGCCGTTCCCGCCCTCGCACGTCTCCGCCGGTGCCCATGACTTGAGGTAGCCCGTGCACTGCACCACGCAGTATTTTTTATCGTGGTGCTTTTTTCGGACCTTTAAAATCAAAGACTTATTAATATTAATATTATATATAACGACAATACACATTTTTTATACAACTTAGAATGGCAAACAAGCTGACAGCCCACCTGATGGAAAGTGGTAACCGTCGCCTATAGACATGAGCAGTACCATGGACATAACAGAGTATACTGTTTCGCCCATGATACCCCGTTTGCGTTGCCATTCCTGAGGACTCAGGTGTTATTCTTCTGTACCCTGTAAATTTATTGTCATATCCCAACCTTCAAACGGAAACACAGCCATGCAAACACAACTGCTTTATGGTTGAAACACGAATGGAACAGAGGTACCCAAGCAATCGACTTTTGTACAAAGTCTCCCTCTGATTTGTTAAGGTCCTTTAGAGGACAATTCAATATATAATACCGAACGGAAAAACCCGATCGGAAAGGCCTTTTCTCCACAACTAATGTCCAGAGAAACTAAATATATAGCTGTATTAAAAACTCTTTACTACAACGAAGACTTTCTGTACAGTAATCCCCCCCCCCTTCCCCACCCCCACCACATCAGAAAAATCCCAAACATTATATAGATAGATAGATAGATACTCTTTATTGTTTCCTCCAAAATATTACAATAGTAAACTTATTCTAGATGTAAACAATTACAAGAAGTAATCACAATGAGAAGACAATGGGCGACCTTATCGCCAAGAGCGATCTTTTCAAGGCAACCTTAAGAATTATATATGCATAAATCTGTTCTTGCTACTGAAGTATTTCTCTTTTATTTAAAAAAAAAAAGAAATTTAGCTTTTAAGATGAATTTCCTTCTTTAAAAAAAAAATGCAAATTTTTTCGTTTAAAGAGAAAAAATAAAAAACTGTAGGTGACCTTTGTGGACGGTTCAGATTCCTCCTTGACGGGCGTAGGGGACGAGACAGCAGCGTCCATCGGTAGACGACACTTTATACGGCAGAAGAAGGAACGCCGCGCTCCTGGACAAAGCCTGGAAGCGCCCGCTACCATGTCCGTCTTCACCGGCAACATAGCTGCGAGTAACAATTAAAAGAAACTATCGGTCTTAACAAAAAATACTTTAAAACACTATAATAACTAGTGTTTTTGATAAACATTTATATCGCATCAAAATAAAATATTTTTTTTGTACAATAAATATTCGCTACCGCTGCCCTCAAGCGCTTTATGCTTTTACCTTAAATGGTTAGCTGTTAGAGAGTTAGAGAATGTGAAGGCATTAAACTCGCCATTTGTACAAATTTTATTGCACAATAAAGAATAAATAAATAAATAAATAAGACTATAATTTCACTAAATTATTATTATTAATAATAATTAAAATATTAGGTAAGGATATAGGAATAATAAATATATATTAAGTTAGAGAAATAACGCCATAGACTCCATTCTCAGTATGATCGGACAATAAAGTAAATTAGTCGCTTAAAAATAGATTAATTATTACATAATGCAACATTGCTTCTTATGTCAACGGAAAGGAAATCAAAATAATTTTACTTTTAGCATCAATGAGCCGCTCACGTGGACTGAGGTCTGATGAGGAGAGCTGCTCCTTCACTTTGGCCACGTCTTTCGGGTGTAGGATGTCGAAGAGACTCTGGCCCAATAGTTCAGACTGGAAACAAATGGCATATCGTGAACATGGATCTAAAACGACAATAACCTAAATAAGCTATGAAAACTATGCTAAGACTTCGAAGATATCCACTGGTGTGTGGTAAAATTTTCGTCAACTGCCCTCTCTTAACATAAGGCATTTTTTTTTAAATGGGTAATAATGGAATGGTAACCCCACCCGCGCTATTGGTATACACCGGCGGGGTACCAGAGAAGGATGATAGATGAGGATGAAGCAGGTCAGTTAGCCCATCGTGACGAATTCAACAAGAATTGTTCACCACGGTTTCCAGAGGGAACCACGTGGAGGTCGACCTGATATTGCTAGCAATGTCGAACTCCATTGCTAACAATTCCTTTCCCCTCAACATAGGGCATTTTAACCCCTCAAGTAATTGGCGGAGAAGGATGGAGAAAATTTGCTAGAGAAATCGAATTAGTAGTAAGGAGGTCCTGCTTAGGGTTACGGAAAAAGAGACAGATTTTAAGAACTATTGACGTCAGAAGGGAAAAAATGTTGGGATACTTTATTCGCACATCAAGTGTCGTAACATTTTTTCCCTTTCACATTTCATGCCATTCATTTACCTACATATTTTGTCACACATTATAATAGAAGGTAAGATAGAAGGAAGGAGGGGAAGAGGGAGACCAAGGCATAGTTTCATCAGGTAGATCAAGGAGTTGGTGTCGTGTCGTATCGTGAGGTGAAGAGACCCGCTGAAAATCGTAGTGAGTGGTAAGAGATCCACCAAGAAAAGCGCAGGCGCTCTTAATTAGAAAGTAATTGATGTGAATTGGCAGGCATTTTTATTTATACTAAGTATTCTTTTTTGTAACTTTTGGAAGAATCAAAGAATTCCTATTATTAAAATAAAATCACTTTTACAGGAAAATTATGTTTCTTTTTTCAAAAAAACATTTAATCTACTACTATAACAGATTTTAAGACATAACAACGTATTAATGGCAATTAATATTAAACTTTCACTTTACACATAGTTTAAATACACAATCGGGACTTCACGCGATGTAAAAAAGCCTTTGCAGGTAGTGTATACATACATAAATTAAATGCTGTTTTATGTAATATTTATTTTATTAATGTATTAATTTGTAATCTGTTGCCTTGCTATAAATAAATAAATACCTGCTTCTTTATTGCCGACGTTTCGACGTAATCACGACAGGACCTGTGACACGTCGTGGTCCTGTCATGACTACGCCGTGGTACAATCCACGTCGAAACTTTAATTGAGCAGAAAACGATATTTATTTGTATACTAGTGTTTTTTTTTTTGTTTTGTTTTTATTTCTTTTGTTCTGGTTTTATGAGCTACTGAGTAAGTCGCATGCTTCTTAAATTAGATTCTTTCATTTCTTTCTATTAAAAAAAAAAACTAACTCATGAAAATCACTGCTTACCTGTTCATAATGTAGCATATTACTGACAGAGGCTGACACGTATAGCAGTCTTCCTCTATCACAACCGACTACCAACAAGAAACAGTCGTGTGCTAGGTGCAAGATGAGAGTGTTCAGCTCCCGCTCGGAGAGGAAGGAAGGACGGGATCTGGCCGTGAGAGGGCAGGCGGACAGCGCCCCGCGGACCGACCGGAGGTGCCTCACAGCCATCCTGAGCACGGTCAACTTATCCAGCTTGCGCGCCATGGCCCCGCACATCGGCACCATGGAGCTCAACTCAGTTATGTAAGTATTCATCTTGTCGCGCCGCCGCTTCTCTATCTCGCTGTGGTTCTGCCTGGTAAATGTTATTAAGCGTTTGTAATTTAATTCTTTTTAATACTTATTTATTTATTTATTCATTAGTACATATATGTGTACATGGCGGACTTAATGCTAAAAACATTCTCTGCCAGTCAACCATAGGGAAGTGTCAGAATACTCGAATGCGGTACTAGTAATTATTGATATACATACATACTAGAATTACATATATAAACGAATAAATATATATAAATAACAAATATACTTACACATATATGACATATACTATATTATGCACGAAATTGAGAATAATATTAATAATTACTGCTCGGAACTACGTGAACTTTTTTGGGGAGGAAAGGGATGTTAGTAATGCGAACTACCGGTCCCAATGCTAGCAATATATCCTATCAGGTCGATCTCCCCGCGGTTCCCCCTGGAAACCATCGTGTTAAATTCCAGGTGTATTCATCACGATAGGCTAACAAACAAACAAAAATATAATAATTTTTCACATTTATGATACTAGCTGTATCCGGCGGCTTCATCCGCATGATTTTGTATATAAAGTTTCCTATACGTTAAATTAGTAAATAATCTATCCATGCACATCGAAAATAACAATCATTCATTAGAGTAACATACATTTTCATACACTTTCATTTGTATAACAAGTATTTTTTCAATGGATGATAATGGAATGGTAACCCCACCTGCGCTATCGGTATACACCGGCGGGGCACCAGTAAGAGGAGATAGGTGACGATAAAAGCAATTCAGTTAGCCTGACAAAGCAGTCATCGTGACAAATTCCACTAAAATTAATCACGACAGTTTCCAAGGGGAACCACGTGGAGGTCGACCTGATAGGATGTATTGGTAGCAATGGGGTAGTCAGAACCCCAATAGTAACAATCCTTTCTCCCTCAATAATTCGGTTTCACACGTACAAGTAAATACTTACTTCTTGTCGGGTAAGGTCCGAGTGGAGCGAGCATCATCACCGGCATCGTCGTCGTAGGCGTTACTGGTACTGCTGTAAAAACAATACCAGACATGAGTTGCATAGATTTTTTTACACAATTTAGAATAGTAAACTACCTGACGACTAACCTGATGGAAAGTGGTAACCGTCGCCTATAGACATGAGCAGTACCATGGACATAACAGAGTATACTGTCTCGCCAATGATACCCCCCATGCGTTGCCGTTTCTGAGGACTCAGGTGTTATTCCTCTATTTGCGATATTTCCGATTATGTTAAATTGACGGTTGTGTATACGTTTAAACATATTATAATAATCGAAATAATCATCATGTTTATAATTATATTTGTCTGGTATTCAAAATCGAATATTTATTTATTCTATAATATACTATTTTTTTATAGGTTTACTTCAGCTGCCCGCTAACGAAATGCTTTCTTACTGTACTGGGTTGACTGGAAGAGATCTCTGTCAGAGATAAGTCCACCCTTGCTCACAACATTTGTAAATAGATTATTTTATATGTAACTTACAAGTGCAATAAAGAATATATATATATATATATATATATATATATATATATATATATATATATATATATATATATATATATATATATATATAATAATGAAATAGTAACCCACCCGCGCTATCGGTATACACCGGTGGGGCACCAGTGAAGGATGATAGGTGAGGATGAAACAGGTCAGTTAGCCCATCGTGACGAATTCAACGAGAATTGTTCACGATGGTTTCCAGGGGGAACCACGTGGAGGTTGAGTGGTTCCCCCTGATAGGGCATATTGCTAGCAATGGGGCTATCAAACTCCATTGCTAACAATCCCTTCCCCCCTATAATATACTATTGTTATTGTACATTTTTGTTTGATGCAATGAAGAGTTAAATAAATAAATATTTTATTTTATTTATTTTGCCATTTTAGTTCGGAATAAGAAATATAGGATATCAGGAGCTATAGCTACGGAATTAACAGGAGCTCACAAATTCCGGTCATGGATAAGCTAAATTCACACTATAACGTCACGGTCGCGAATCGTTCTCGGTCCAATCTCGATCCGCTAAAATAGCATCACGATAGAAACAACAATTGTGTACCCATACTATGAATTACAGTCAATCTCGAAATGTTCTTACTTGACAATTATTTACCAGACCGAGAACGAACCGAGAACGAATCGTGCCCGGCATTATATGGTAAGAATCTATAGGTTATACTCTGTTATGTCCATGGTACTTACTGCTCATGTCTATAGGCGACGGTTACTACTTTCCATCAGGCGGACCGTCAGCTTGTTTGCCATTCTAAGTTGTATAAAAAAAAGGTTCATAAAATGTGTAAAGTTCACTCATGTTACCGCAAACATGCACCCGTATCTGCCTGGAGATCGTCTATATACGAGCACTCGAAGTTTGAAGGGTTAAAGTCAAACAATTTTCAAATATGAGCCGACGATATATTTGAATTTATCGGACATTCAAATACTACAGTAGCGGTAGAATTTTATTAATCCACTACTCACAGTTTGGTAGTAGTCAGCAAATAATACTATATCTATGTATGTCGGACAATTGTACCTAATATTTTAACCGAATGGAAATGAAATAGTATCGGTTGTTGGTAATAGAGACTAAATCGAATCGAACGTATCAGAGGGCCTACCGTGAAATATTTTTCGAAATTTCAGGGCCGAACGAAACAAAAATTTTATGTTAAAATTATATAATACGTACCGTTTAAAACTGTTAAAAATATTGAAATACTCGCATTGTTTCTTTGAACTTTTATGGTGGGATTTACGACGGAAGAAATGTTAAGTTCCATTTATTGTGTCGATTTCGGTTCGAATAAAAACACGAAATTTAATCCGAAAATTCGGAATTTCATTTCATGGTAGATCTCCAGATTCTGAACGTTATAATTTTCGAAAAGCGTGATCAAAGTTCTAAGACTCCCTAAAAGGCGGCTAGTAATTTTAAATGCGATACTAAGACCGGAATTCATTGACTGTTAATGAGACGTTTGCTTCTTTAAACAGCCCATTACAACGAACTCGGTGTTAACCGCTTAAACATCGAATACAGCTGTTAATCGAACTGTTATCTTAAACGGGCTCCGCGATCACGTTTAAGTCTCGTTTAACCAATCACAATAGACTCATATCTGCTTATAACAAAGATGGCTGATCCGTCGGTTTCCCCGCTAAAATTTAGCGTTTCTGCTTTGTTTGTTGTCCCTACCTATATACTTATTGTGTTGCGCATACGATAAATACGGAATTTAATTTTGAAAAGTGTTATTTTATTACGATTTAAAATGATTATTTACATTCTTTTTTTTTATACAACTTAGAATGCCAAACAATCTAACGGCCCACCTGATGGAAAATGGTAACCGTCGGCTATAGACATGAGCAGTAGCATGGACATAACAGAGTATACTGTTTTGCCCATGATACCCCCCCCCCCCCCTTACGTTGCCATTCCTGAGGACTCAGGTGTTATTCCTCTGTACCCAGTAAATTCACGCCATATCCCACCCTTCAAACCGAAACACAGCCATGCAAACACAACTGCTTCACGGTTGAAACACGAATGGGACAGAGGTACCCAAACAATCGACTTTTGTACAAAGTGTTCCTCTGGTAATATTTATTGTATATTGTTTGATATTTTTATATAAATATTTTAGTAGGCAGGTAATAATCTAAATCATAGAAAAAAAATTTATAATAGGATAACATAGTTATAAACATAGTTATATTCATTATGGGGTATCAATACCTAGGTCAAACTAACTTAGATATAGTTCGATAGTTATTTTAATGTAATTAGATACATTAGAGTCAGATTTTCTTTCACAATGTTTTTTTTTTATAAAATTTTATCTTTTTTGCATGATTAAGTTACGGTTCTAAACATGAAATTGAATTAAAATATATGAAATGAGGATAATAAATTAAGGGCAGTCAAAAAAATGAAGAAATGGGGTCGTACTTTTATAATAATAATAGCCGTCAGGCCTAATATACAATGCCCTATCTCGCTTGCAGTCACAGGTTCATTTGTTAACTACCAGGTTATTTGTTAACTACATGTTCAGTTGTTAATTATTAACATTTAGTAAACGTTGTTTTACCATATACATTATTTCTAAAACTATACATGAAAATACATCGTACTACAGTTATTATATTCTATTGTCATCTTGCAACCCTATTGCGGCATATAAAAATTTAGAGGTTAAACAGGGGTTAAATGTAAAAGCGTGAAAAATTGAATTTGTATGTATTTTTCAATGCTAAATCATAATAAAATAAAAATAAAAAAATTGTCAAAAAATAAAAAAAAAATAAATTTGGGGTGGGTCACCTTTATCATTGAAGGGTTCGAAAAATAGATGTTGGCCGATTCTCAGACCTATGCGATATGCACACAAAATTTCACAAAAATCGGTAAAGCCGTTTCCGAGGAGTTTGGTAACAAACACCGCGACACGAGAATTTTATATATTAGAAGATATCCGTAAAAAATAAAATCCGGAAAAAAAACCGGCTTCAATCGTGGCCAAAAACAATTATTTTTATTTAAAAACACAACCAATGATCCGATTTTGATATAATTTCTACGTGACCAATCTGAAAGTAGGTATACCCTTTCAGAATAAAAAAAGATTTCTCCTCATTTATAAATAACTAAATTATATAGCGATAAATGTAAAAATAAAATACAACCGAAGTAATAACCTCTTTTATTTTTGAAGTCTATTGAAAAGTAAATAAAAAAAAAAATGTTTACAAAATTTATATCACTATTCTCATTTTAAGACAAATAAAACGCACCAGTAAACAACATTACGTTTTGTACATTAAATAAATTTAAAATATTTAAAGGCGGCGCCCTCTATTGTCGTAATACCAATAACGTACCAACACGAGTATGAACGTTATCGATTGCAAAAATAATTTATTAATTATTTATTTATTTTATTTAAGAAACGAATAGTACAATTAACAGAATAAAAATTACATATTAATTTTATAAATATAAAGTTTCTACTAACAGCTACTAAAAGATCAAAGTTTGTGCAAACATCACATAACATAATGCTATATATAACGCAGTACAGTTTTGGGCAAATGGAAAACCATCACCTTTTTTTCTATTTAAAAAAAAATATATATATAATGAAACATACATATAACTTACATAGACCACGAATAACAGGATCTGGTATCGTAATCCATGGTATCCACTCCGGAAACTTTGCAGGTATTATTTTAACAGGACCTTTTATTCGATCAGTGGGACAAAGGGTTTGTTAGTAACGGGTTCTGACAGCCTTATTGCCAGCAATATACCCTATCAGGTCGACGCGTTTCCCCCTGGAAATCATCGTGGTTAATTCTTCACGTTGAGTCAACTGATCTACCTTCATCGTCACCTTTCATCTGTCACTGGTGCCCCGCCAGCATATACCAATAGCGCAGACGGAGACACCATTCCATTTTTACACATTAAAAAATCTGCAGTACGACAATATTTTTTTAAACAATGAAATTTTTTTTTTCTAAAATAATATTGTCAATATGCAGATTTTTTTAAAAGAATTACAATAGAATGTAAATCCGCCTGCCTGTGCTCTCGGTATACGCTGGCGGGACACTATTAAAGCATCCTCCACTGGTGAATATGTGAGCATGAAAGCAGATCAGCGGGCAATAGTGGTTAACTACGATGATATCCAGGGGGAACCGCTTGGAGTTCGACCTGAGGCTGTTAGTCCTATTAGTAATGATCATTTCAGTATCTGCACAACTGCCTTAAAAGCTTACCTACTTAAAATGTATTTAGTTTTCGTGTGTTCATTAATTTGAGAACTTGAGCACAAAGGGACTATAGTTAGCTATTAATATTTAAAAGAAATACACTTCTGACAAGTTTTGGAATCTAATGTGAAATATAACCAAAACTAGGCACAAAAATTTACATGTAACTAAATACTGCAATGGCAGTCAAAGGCGAAAAACA